TACCCGGGGTCTCGATGGCCCATCACAAATGGTTGGTGACCCCTTTCTTTTTGGGTAACCCCATTTTTAAAGGGCCCTGGAGACTCCAGGTAGAAAGATTTGATATTTCAAGCACATGGGAGAAGTGCCCCATGGTCATGGCCGGGGGCCGAAGGGAATATTGATCAACCCATAGCTGTCCTTTTGATCGCTGAGTTTGGCTGGAAATCGATGGGTTCCACTGGTTCGGATTGGTTTCATTCACCATTTACCAGGGAAGCCCATCGATTTTTCCCAAAAGCCACCTATGGCTTGACGGGGGAACCCGAAAAGAGGGAGGGTTCACCAGAAATCGCACTAAGAATACGGTGTTGCTTTCTTCTTTAGAAGGGGCCGGGGGGGGAGAGCTCTATGCTTTGGAGTCGGCAAAGAATGGCTTTCCGGTGAGTTTTTTTTTTACGTGAATTCTTGCAGGACAGTATAGTGGCACCCGTTGTATCAACCTGGCGAATCTTGATGCGGCGCAACTCTCATTGTGATACCCTCGCATTTGGGATGCGCATCCCCTCAACCAAAATGTACTGGGCGCTGGTTTAATGTCCGCACCTCATCTCGAGACCCAAATTTGAGGCCTTGCATCAAGATGTTGCATGATCGGAGTGTTCCTGCAGCCTTGCGCGACAAGGCTTCTCGGATATTTTCAAGCAAGGAGGGCCTGGAATCCCCGAAAAAGAATCACTCGATGTCTCATGTGCTTTTGGGGAAACAAGTAATTTTGGCCTCGCATGGGCTGCCCCAAGTGTACTTGATGCCTCTAAGTCCTGTTCTTGCACTTCGCCCGCGCGTATCCAGGTTGCGCCGCCGGTTTGATCGCTACAGATGTAGGAATCCTCACTGCCCGTGGCCAGGTGGTTTTTTTGGCAGTCTACCGCGGTTGAATAGCGGGGTTCACTGCGTTGCCAGCGTTTCTCTCACACTTCTGGCGACGCGTGCTATTGACGGTTTGCGAAGGTTGACCTTGACAATGTACAGACCATGAGTGTGCGTGTCTGTGGCTGACATGATTGGAATGGGCTCCATGTGTACCAACACAATCCACCCCCCTCCTCCCCCCAATTTCCGCGAAACATCTCCCATTTTGTTGGCCTTTCCTTTAAAGTCTCCGTCACCGTTTTGGCCGGGGTCCTTGCCGTTTTGGAGGTCTTAATCCGCCCACCCACCCACCCAGCTTCCCACCCAGCTTCCCACCCAGCTTCCCACCCAGCTTCCCACCCAGCTTCCCACCCAGCTTCCCACCCACCCACCCACCCACCCACCCACCCACCCCACCCACCCACCCACCCACCCACCCACCCACCCACCCACCCACCCACCCACCCACCCACCCAGCCACCCCACCCACCCACCCACCCACCCCACCCACCCACCCCACCCACCCACCCACCCACCCCACCACCACCCACCCACCCACCCACCCACCCACCCACCCACCCACCCACCCACCCACCCACCCAGCCACCCACCCACCCACCCAGCTTCAGCCACCCAGCCACCCAGCCACCCAGCCACCCAGCCACCCAGCTTCCCACCCACCCACCCACCCACCCACCCAGCTTCCCACCCACCCACCCACCCAGCCCCCACCCAGCTTCCCACAGCTCCCCACCCAGTTCCCACCCAGCTCCACCAAGCTTCCCACAGCTTCCCACCCAGCTTCCCACCCAGCTTCCCACCCAGCTTCCCACCCAGCTTCCCACCCAGCTTTTCCCCAGCTTCCCAGCTTCCCCACTTCCCACCCAGCTTCCCACCCAGCTTCCCACCCTTCCCACCCAGCTTCCCACCCAGCTTCCCACCCAGCTTCCCACCCAGCTTCCCACCCCAGCTTCCCACCCAGCTTCCCACCCAGCTTCCACCCAGCTTCCCACCCAGCTTCCCACCCAGCTTCCCACCCAGCTTCCCACCCAGCTTCCCACCCAGCTTCCCACCCAGCTTCCCACCCAGCTTCCCACCCAGCTTCCCACCCAGCTTCCCACCCAGCTTCCCACCCAGCTTCCCACCCAGCTTCCCACCCACCCACACCCACCCACACCCACCCGCCCACACCCACCCACCACACCCACCCACCCACCCACCCACCCCACCCACCCACCCACCCACCCACCCCCACCCACCCACCCACCCACCCACCCACCCACCCACCCACCCACCCACCCACCCACCCACCCACCCAGCTTCCCACCCACCCACCCACCCAGCCAGCCAGCCAGCCAGCCACGCAGCCACCCAGCCACCCAGCCACCCAGCCAAGCCACCCAGCCACCCAGCTTCCCACCCACCCACCCACCCACCCACCCAACTTCCCACCCACCCACCCAGCTTCCCACCCAACCTCCCACCCACCCAGCCACCCAGCTTCCCACCCACCCACCCACCCACCCAGCTTCCCACCTACCCCACCCACCCACCCAGCTTCCCACCCAACCTCCCACCCACCCACCCACCCAGCTTCCCACCCACCCACCCTGCACGGTGGGCGCTAAGTCCCCGGTTCTGTGGATCTGGCTTGCCGGAGCTTGTCGGTAGCCATTCAAGTTTGTTTGTTTGACCAGGCACGGAAGGCTAATGAGAAGCCAGCTCAACAGCGCCGCAAGACCAAGGATCTCTTACGTCCGAGATTTGGCACGTAGCGTCAAGGAAAGGCGGGCGCAAGAAGGCGGGCTCCAATAATTCATGAATTTCCTCCTTCCTTTTCTTTTCCTCAAGGTGGGTTTCCCTATGTCATCCATAACCACCTACTTCCAACCTTTCAACGGGAAGGTCTCCATGTTGAACTCCGTTCCCACCTTCCTTTTTGATCTCAATTGACCCTGAGAGGCGACGGCCGATCTGCAATACACCCACCATACCCACCATACACCCACCCACCATACACCCACCCACCCATACACCCACCCGCCATACACCCACCCAGCACACACCCACCCACCACACACCCACCCACCACACACCCACCCACCACACACCCACCCACCATACACCCACCCACCATAAAACAAACCACCCACCCACCCACCCACCCACCCACCCACCCACCCACCCACCCACCACCACCACCACCCACCCCCACCCACCACCCACACCACCCACCCACCACCCACCCACCACCCACCCACCCACCCACCCACCATCCCACCCACCCACCCACCCACCCACCCACCCACCCACCCACCCACCCACCCACCCACCCACCCACCCACCCACCCACCCACCCACCCACCCACCCACCCACCCCTGCTTCACCCGCAGACCTCGGCCGCCGCGTGGGATTTCGCTTCGGAGTTTTTGGGAGGCGACGGCGCTGGCCCAGCTCCGCACTGACGGAACCAGCCCGGCCCAGGCGCGGCGTGCGAGAACTCCGGCAAACCCGTTTGGTGTCCCTTTTTGGTGGTTTTGTTTTGGTGTCTTTTTTTGTACCATTGGTTGTGTTGGTTTTGGTTGTTTTTGTTGCTGACCTGGGAGTTTCTCATCATCTACCAGGGAAACCCATCTATTTCCCCTAAAAGGACACTTACGTTTGGCGCCCGTTTTCTGTTTGGTTGGTTTTTCAAGAACCCAGTTGAAAGCAAGGGTTGCTTGCATTGCAGCATGTCTTTTTTCTACGCTTGACACTTGGAACAAGGTTGATCAGGACGGTGTCTAAAAACATATTGCCAGCAAGGGAACATTTACCGTAATTTGTCATGCTTCTGTGGTTCAGTGTGGTTTCACGCTCAAGTCCTGATATGTCCGGAACCTACAAGGATATCTTGGCAGCTTTTCAGCCATACAGTTCCTGAAGCATGTTTACACTGTTTCAAGTTACAGTTTGCAACACATATCCCATTAAACGTTGAACACATGGGATCAACCACTAAACATCACAATGCCATGGCGGGGGAAGCTTATGGTGCAAGTGAATGAGCATCGATCTAGGGCTGGCTAGGGATCGGAACTCCCCATGTTCGCCTGAGTCCCACTAGAAGAATCAATTAAATTTGGCACTTGGGGAGTTTTGCTAGGAAACCCGAGTCCCATCAAAAGAATGGCCCTGAGCACGGGCCCAATTAAGGGTCCGATGGAACCATCGGGTCTGGGTATGCAGAACCCGGAGGTCCCAAAAAAACACGCACCTCGAGCTGCTTTATCAAAAGCACCTACTGTGGACGGGTGCGAAATCCAGAAATCGCAGCACTTTGAAACCAGAATTCGTGGTATTTGCAGGGGAATCGACTCATTGGATTTCGCAACCCTCCACAGCATTTTGAGGCCCCGATCGATCCCGTCGATCGGAGGCTTGCATTAAGCAATCTTTGGTGAGCTGTTCACCCAGGCATTGCGGTTCGCATGCGGCCCCTGAGGTTTTTAGGTTTTTAGTTGGTTTGGTGGTAGTTTCCATTTAACTCACTAAGAGTTAGACATTTGGCAGGGGATAAAGTTCAGGGGATCTGAGGACGCCCAATTATTCAGTGCCGCAAGTTTCCAGTCGCTGAGTCTGGTGCAGCTCAACTTTTCCTTTGGACTAGATTTTTGAATTCGGGCAGTTTCCCTCCCATCCAACAAGGGTAACAAACCTCCAAATCAGTAGCCGCAGCGGAACGCGATGCGGAATCGGGAGCTGCACTTTGAATCGGGAACTTGCTTGGGTTCCATTTGCTCCCTCCCACCAATCATGGAAGTGCGCTTTAGAACTTGAAATCCTTTTCGGAGAGGGAGGTTGTGCATTTCCATGTTGGTGGGGGGATCGATGCGTTTACTTTCGCCGTGTTTGCTTCACTTTATATTCTAAATATGGCTGTGGGTCCCAAGCAATGGTGCCATGTTGGGGTAGGTGCACCACCCATTTTGTCGGGATTGGGATGTTCACTGGGGGTACGGGATTTTGACCCATGGCCATATGACTCGCCTATTTGGCCGGGCAAATGAATTTGCACACGCCCCTATCCGCTTTGGGAACTCTGAACCCACCTCTTCAACGCCACTTTGCTCGAGACTATCCATGTGAAATCTGCCGTGAGCGAACTCCATCTACGGCAGTGCAACCCGGCAAGGAAAGCACGGGGTGTCCTTGCTCCCGACAAGGCTGTACACGTTTTTTTTTCTTCTTGTTTTTTTTAGAATAGAATCAAAAATCGGGCATCCGCACAGACTGGGTGGTTTCCCTTGAGTTGTCCTTGAAACGAAACCCAAACTGCTTTACAGTTTTTTCCGGTTTTGCAAAATATTCCCCGAAAGATGGTCCTCTTTTAGTTTCCCTTGAACCCAGCCCAACAAGGGTACCCGCAACACAAGATTCACCCACGTTTTGTGTATGTGTGTGTTGCGTGTGTGTTGTGTGTGTGTGTGATTGTTTTTGGGGTGTTTGTGTTTAAGGGCAGCCTTTTGCAGCTTGGCTTAAAATTGGGAAGCCACCAAGCCAGCCACCCTTTCACCCATTCCCAGAACCGAGTGGATCCCATTTGGAGGGACATCCTCAGAGACATCCCCTTAAGAGTTTACCCCAGACCTGCGGGCTGTCAAGGAGCAAAGACAACTCCGATGGTTGGAAGTTCCCCTTGGATTCTCTTCATGCAAAGTTCGGGTCACTAGTTGAAGTTGGCGTTTCTCAGGAATCCGGTTCCAGAACGTGTTTTTTTGTTTCTAGTTGGTTTAGTGGTTGGGTTCCCCATTTAACAAACAAGTTGAAGACTTTTAGCAGGTCTGGAGGCAGCTCAGCTTGGTGTGGATTGGTTTGGATTCGAACTCCCGGCTCTTGGGGATTGACGGGGCACTCCAAATCACTCCTTCGCTGTTCTTGGCATGTTTTTAGTTTTTTTTCAGTGTTTTGTTTCTGTTCATTTTACTGAGGGTCTGCAAAAAACAAAGTGTTTTGCTACCATACCAAGCTCCATGCGAAGTGGTGGACCATTGACATCAGGACATCAAGGTTGTGCGTCTTTGACTTTGACTATTAGGGAAAATCGCATGGTTCTTGTGTCATGCCGAAATTCAGGTTGCAGTGGAGTGCAATCACCTGGCTCTTCATGCACGCGTATGCAGATTGCTAGATACAAGGGGCTCACTGTTTTGAGAATCGAATTATGGCATGTTCCCTGCTTCGGCCGGTCGGAGTCCCTCAGTGGTGCCCTTTTACCCTTTTTTGGGGGAGGGTTCCCCTACTCAAATAGACTACAGAAAAAGGGTACCCTTATTCTAACCTCTCTACTGGAGGACCTAGCCACCCGTAACGCGGCCAAACAAGGGTCCCCAACCTTGCCAAAACCATTTGGCCCTTGTGGGTCTTGGAGAGTTGGGGTTCGCAAAAGGGTGTCTTCCATCATTTTTAGCCCGCCCAAATGGTGAGTACATGGCCATGGGGCACAACCTATGCTCCATTGTCGGGTGGATGAACATCCATTTGCCACCTATTTTGATGTTCACCAGGGTTTCCGGGTTTTGACCCACAGCCATATATGTGTATGTGAGTAACATACAAAGTATAGGGTGTTTACATATACACGCAAGTGGTTTGGCCTAGACTTGGGATATTCGAACTTAGCTGACCCTTTTGCTTCCATGCCTTCAGTTCTTGCTCTGGTTGCCTTTGAAGCAGATACAGCTCCTAATCATATAGTGTATACAATATATATATATATACACACGTTCACATATATATATATATATGGTCACTCCCCTTTTGCCAGGGCCCACCTTTCTACTTTTTGCGCAAAATCTATTTGTTGGCAGATGTTCAGTGTCCACTTGGTTTGCAGATGCCTTGCAGGAAGCACCGTAATTTACAGTGTTTTTTGTGGGATTGTGTATATTGTGCCAGATGTTCTTTGATGCAAAACAGACTCAAAGAAGCAAACAAAAACGAACACATAACATGTTATTTGCAGTGTTTCTTTTTAAAGTAAACTGTAAAAACACGCCTGTTTGTTGTGGTTTTTGATGATCACATCCTCAAAACATGCACAGACTCAAGCAATGCAACACATCCAAGCCTCAAAGCTCTGAAACCTGCACAGGCTCAACAAAATGCAATTTTCGAGCCTGTGCCGGTTTTGGAGCTTTGGGTTCTCAAAACATGCACAGGCCCAAAAAATGAAGAATTCCAAACCTCAAAACCCAGATGCAATGGCAGAGGTCAGGGCTTGATTGGTCTAGGTTTGTTTACATGGTTTTTGTTTTTTGTGCCTGTGCAGGTTTCAGAGATTTTAGCTATGGATGTTTTGCAATTTGAGCCTGTGCAGGTTTTGGAGCTTTGCGTTTCTGAAACATGCACAGGCTCCAAAGAAATGCAAACCACTTCCAGAGCCTTTACTGGCATTGTGAAGACTGGGAAACAGATTGCTGAGCAAAACTCATCGAAGCCTCGTACTGCAAAACTTTAAACTTCTAACATCATAGCTACTCAATAAAGAAGAGATACCTTGAATGACCTTGTTTGAGCTTCTTGCAGCGGAGTGATCTATGACAGGAACTCTGCATGAAGGATAGGTCGGTGACATCAAAACAACACACACACACACATATATATATATATATATGTATGTACATATGCCCACCCGCTACTTTCAAAATTATCAGTGTTTACAGACTGTACAAGTGCAAGGTGAGCATATATGCATATATATATAATAATATATATATATATATATATAACATATATGTATATATGTATATATTGCATGCATTTGTACAGCCAAAATGTCAATCTCTGGCCAAAAACCTGAGTATTCCAGGGGGGGGGGGTACCATATATACATATATCTGTTTTTCCCTCGGCGGTGGACACCCTCTCAGACTCCCTTTCAGCACGCTGAGGTGCCATGTTCCTGCGGCTGCTGATCCTTCTGTCGACTGCAGGGGTCAGCAGCAGCTTTCACCAGGAGGGCGGTGAAAATTGCCTATGCACCAGGGCGGGTTGCTTGGGTGGTTGGGTAGTTGGGTGGTTGGGTGGTGGGGTGGGTTGGCGGTGTGGGTGGTTGGGTGGTTGGGTGGTTGGGTGGTTGGGTGGTTGGGTGGTTGGGTGGTTGGGTGGTTGGGTGGTTGGCTGGTTGGGTGGTTGGGTGGTTGGGTGGTTGGGTGGTTGGGTGGTTGGGTGGTTGGGTGCTTGTGGTTGGGTGGTTGGGTGGTGGGGTGCTTGGGTGCCCTGGTTTGATTGGGGGCGAATTGGGGGCGTACTTGGGCTACTTACTGCGTACTTGGACGATTCGGGACTTAGTTAAGTGGGTTACCCCGAGCAGTCAGTGCCATGCTATCCATGATTTCCCCGCGGAAGATGACTACCACCTCATGTGGCCCGCCAACAAGGCAGTAGATAGCACTTGTGGGCTTGAGAGGGGGTTGAGTCCCTGGATACATAGGGCGTCTTTCTTTGTTCCTGCACTCGCTACAATTCAACCACACGCACTACAGGACCAGATGGTAATTTCCAGTGTCTCGCTGGTTGCGGAAAATCCTTTGACGGCCTCATTTTAAGAACCCAGAAATGGAGAGTAACCAACGCATGGTCTGTATGGACCTGTCACATGGGTGTCCTTGATCAATTTGGTTCATCGATTCCGCGCTTTTTTTTGGCTTGGCGCTTAGCTGGCTCGTGAAGGAACCAAAGTTGTGGTAAGTTTTCGTTCTGTAAGCTGTCTACTTGGGCAAAGCCAAGTAGCTGATTCCCAGACCAGGTTCTACTAAGCCGGAGTCAAAAGAAGCAGTTAATCTGAAGACCCTAAATGGGTCTTGCGGTTACAGTTTCTCGTTGGCTGTGTTTTGCAAGTCCATGAACTTGGCACTCCAATCCCAAGACACCCCCTAACAAACGTCATTCGCACTTCGTGTTCGTGGGACAACTTGTTGCCACATCCAGACTCGACCCAGGTTCCGTGGCCTTTTTGGGTTGGTTGAAAGGGACGTCAAGAGGAAAACCAGAGCTTTTGGGGTCCCCAAAAAAACAACAGACCCATTTGGTGTGGCAAGCCGATTTAGGTACTGGCTAAATCATTGCTAGCAGTATTCCTCTCGCCCATGACTAAGTTTGGTTTAAGATACCCACAACTCCAAAATGCTGATTTCCATGTTGGTTTTCCTTTAACGACCATCCAGAAAGGGGTGACTCCAAAACAAGGGCGAGCCTTTCAACAAAGGGTGCCCGAACTGCGAAGGTCGCAGCAGGGGGGGCTATATCCTTTTTTGCCTGGGATACGCCAAGGAAAAGCGAGAAGGCCGAAAAGGGTCAATAGGGTGCCTCGTTTTTGTTTTGGGGGGGGACCCCCTCAATACTGTGGATGGACAAAATCCTGCACCACTTTGAAACCATGGGAAACCATTGTTTGCTGGTATGTACAGGGGACTCATCATTCCAGGGTTTCTCAGGTGGTGCGAAATGGATTTCGCAACCATCCACAGTATGGCTTCGGCGTTGTCTTACCACCAAAAGGAATATACCAACTCAAAACAAATCAGGGTTGGAAGAGTTACGCCCTTTTTCCCCACCCCATCCACTCCACCCCCCCCCCCCCATTTTTTTTGTTTTTACGGTGGTGTCCTTTTTGTTTCGCTTAAAAAACACGATGGGTATACCTCAAAACAGATACTCAGCTGCCCAAAGCCGGCCTTTTGACCTTTTGGTTCTCCCATGTTCTCCCATGTTGGTTCATATTTAGTTATGGCCGAGGTGAACCTGTTATTTCTTACGTCTGGGCAAAGGGGGGGGGGTAAATACGTGAGTGTTGGGCTTTTTGAGCCCATGTCTTTTTTGTTTCTCTCTCGTTGTTTTTTTGGTAAACGGTTACTAGGTCCCCCTGTACTGCCCTTCTCGACTCTTTTTTAAAGGAGGGTTCCCCTGCTCAAATAGACCACAGAAAAAAAAAAACAAAAAAAAAAAAAAAAACAAAAAAAAAAAACAGGTTGGTACCCTAAACCCTAACCTCTCTGCTGGAGGACCTAGGTTGCTACGGGAGATACCCCCAGTCCAATAAAACGGCTTTTCTCATTTTTGTTTTGATCAAAAGTTTTTGAACCCATGTCTTTTTATAAACAAAAAGTGTTGAACCTTGTTTGAGTCTAGTACTGGAGTTTTTGAATTCCCATGTGTTTCTGCTTTTCTCTCTTTTTGTTTGTCGTAAGCGGGTTGCGGGAGAATCGGTTACCCGGTCCCAAGAAAGATGCGAAGATCCGGCGAACATCTCCAGGTTCAAAAGCTCCAGGGTTCAAGCTTCCATTTGGTTAAGACTGGTCTTGGGCTTTTTGAGCCCATGTGTTTTTTTTTAGAAACGGTTCCTACGGGAGATGTACCCCAGATTCTGGTTCTCGTCTCTTGAACCCCATGTTTTTTTATTGAATTTCTCGTTTCGTTGCCTATGTCTTACACGGGGACCCCGGGAGAAACGGTGACCCGGTGCGGCGCCAGGACGCCTCCCTGCGCAGCTCCAAAGCCACCTTCGCTCCGCTGGGCCTCGAGGCGGGCGGTTTCTCGGCCAGACCGCCGAACCGGCGACACCCGGGGATCGAGCAGGCGGTGGGATATGGCGGGTGAAACATCGGGTAGCCCCGAAAATGGGCTGCCCTAATTTGAAGTCATGGACGACCCTGGCGGTTTTCGGGCGGTTTAATTAGTCTTGACCCATATCCTGAGATGATGGAGCCGTTTTTTTTTTGGGGGGGATGGTTTTGACGGGAGCACCAAAAGAAAAGGACAATTTGTCTGGTTCATTCCCAGCCTGTTCATTCCCTAAACCTTGACTAATTGTTTGATGGAACCAGCCAGACATTTCGGTGATTCCAAAGTGTGCAAGGGATCCTCAAGGGCGTTCTACTGCTTTCTCGGCGGTTCCCATACCCTTAAACTTTTAGCCTTTCAGATCGTTCGGTGGGATTTATCAGCTATCCCACTGAAACAAAGTTAGCAAAGGACCAACGAAGCACTAAGAATATCATGGGTTAGTTTCAGACATTATATTCTGACCATGACTTAATGCGATCAGGCCTTTGCAGTACTTAGTAAGTGGGGTACTTGGTATTTTGTGCGTTCTCGGAAAACAATGGACATCTGAAGGTTGTCTAAACATGACACACGATCTGAGCATTCTATGCTGGGGGTTTGCAAGGGTAAGTAGTCCGCAACCTTTGCGACAATCCACTGGCATGATTGTCGCAAGCTGGAATCCGTGGCTTTTTGTCAGGGTCAGGGTTGCCACTTTACGAACATGGCTGGTCTTTGGTACGACCTTTTTCTCCCCTTTGAATTGGTGCCCCCTACACCCAATACCCACTTTTTCAGGGTATGATGTCGACCCTCTACTAAAAAAGGAGGTATTTACCCTGGAAAACCGATCGGTTTTCCAACAAAAATACCCTGAAAAAAGCGGGTATTTGGAGTAGGGCGTGGTTTGGATTGGAATTGGAACCGCTGGTTCTTGTTTTTGGATTTATTTTTGTTTCCCACCCAAAAAACCCACCGAGCCACCGCTTCGGCTCCGCTTAGCCTTGGAAGCTTAAACCTGGAAGCCGGTGATTGAGGTCTTTTGACACGCGTATGGCTGCTCAAACCCGCTACTCCAAATACCAACGCTTTTTTCAGGGTATTTTTGTTGGAAAGCCGATCGGTTTTCCAGGGTAAATACCTCCTTTTTTAGTAGAGGGTCGACATCATACCCTGGAAAAAGTGGGTATTGGGTGTAGGGGGAAGAATGGTACCCCAAAATGGCCCCTTGGTAAGATGGACCCCTTGGTAAGATGGACCCGTTTTGGTGGTGGGGGGGGACCCTGCTGTGGAAATCCATTTCGCACCACGATATGAAATCATGGTTGAAACCATGGTTTGTTGGTATTTGCAGGGGGATGATCAGACACCAGGGTTTGTTAGGTGGTGCAGGAGTTTGTCCATCCACAGTATGGCTCAACAAGGGAGGGCTGTTGCAAACAACATGATTGTCCTTTGTTGGTAGGGCTTTGTCACTTGCTGAGCGGCCCCGAATCGACGGCATTGGAGTTGTTTTCGAGATGTAAAACCCCGAAGAAGCGTGCATCCGGGCGAACGCAGCTTCAGCAGATGACGGCGGCGGAGATCGCGCTTGGTACAGAGATCAAGCTGCGCGGACATCGCTGTGCTGTAATGTTGACCCAGGATTAATAAACCCGGCCCAGTATTAGGGGGTGGAAACCCCTCCAAAAGTTGTCTGAACCCACAACCACTAAAAGGGGAAAAGCACCCCCCGATCAAAATCAACCAGGGGTTCTGCTTAATCCGGGGTTAACATTACCGGAAGTCTTCACGGTCCGCCCGAGTCCCAACGACCACGACGAGAATCATCGGAGCCTGATCGAGCCGTGGGCGTGCGGTTGCCGGGTTCTGGGCGGGAGGAGAGGGTGGCCAGCAACCTTCCACATGTGGAACTTACCTGGTCGGCAACCAGGGCAAAGCCACGCGATGTGTTTCTAGGTGGATCTTTCTCATAGGGTGTTGGACGGTTTGAATAGAGGACCCCTCCCCCAAATTGGCGGTTTCCGGTTTGGTTTCCCTTGAAATAATACCAAAGCAAACATCCCCTCAAAAATCATCCAGGTCCAAGTACCTAGACTCTCCATGACTCCTTAAAAATGCTTGGTCATTCCCCCAAAAGAAAGATTCGGGTCATGAACCCACTTTGCTAAGGGTCAGAAGGAGACTCCAGGTATTTGTTCTTCTCCCTTACCTTGGTTTTAAAGGTGTGACTACTGGAAATACCGGGACCTTCTGGGACCTTCGGTAGCTCCATCTTTGACTGACCCTGGAAAAAAATTGGTTAAGCCCCCCTGGAGAAAAAAATGAAAAAAATCTGTCCAGTAGTGAAATCGATTTTTCTTTGAAACCAACCGGGGAAAATGAACAACATCTTCATTTCAGCAAATGGAAGGCAAGGACCAAGCTCGGGGAAGCATACCTAGAGTCTCCATGACCCCTAGAAAAAGGGCCCATTTGACCCCTTAATTTTAGGCAATGACCAACCATTTTTTAAGGATCAGATTCGGAGAGTCTAGGTCCGCAACCTTGGGAACTGTCCATTTTCCATTCTAGGTAGCTCGATCTTCGACCGTTCGGCCGCCCGCGTCAGGCGAGCCTCGTGCAGTCGGGGCAAGTACCGTTGACCGAGACCACCCATCAGCCAAGGCCTTGGACGGCCCGGAGTGCTGAAGCTTCGGACCCACTTACTTGGCGACCCCCCCCGAAAAAAAGAAAGAAAGAAAGAAAGAAATTGAAATAAGACAAGAAAGAACAAAAGAAAGAAAGAAAGAACGAAAGAAAGAAAGAAAGACAGAATAAACACAAGAGTGCCCCCCCCCCAAAAAAAAAACAACAACAATATATATATATATATATATACATATATATATATATATATATGAAGTGTGTTTTCATTTGGTTTCCCTTTAACACCACAAGCAGGGGTATATGCCTCGAAAAAAAGAATTTCGAGCCGCCCACTTGCAAACCGGGAAGCTCCAGTTGGGTAAAACTGAGTGGGTGAGCTGAGGACCTCCGAAGCGACTACCGAAGCCAAGCGAAGCCAAGGGAAGCCAATTAGCAGCGCCAACGGTTCAGCAGGGCTCCTTAAATTTAGATTAACAATTCCCTCCCCCACATAAATTAACCCCAACAAAGTGTATATTAATAATTATCTCCATTTTGCAACCCATTTGCTCAGTGGTTCAGTGGTACCCTTTTTTTTCCCCCTGTTTTTTTTTGGGTGGGCTACCCCCACTAAAATGGTCCAAGCCCAAAAAAGGGTTCCCCTTTTTTTCCAGGGTCACCGAACAACTGAGTTTGAAACATGTTGCTTTTTGCACCAGAATAAAGTTGGACACCACCATTTACAAGTTGCAATGTTCAGGTGTATAATGTAAGGATCCCTGGTGCCGCAGCCAAGTAAAAACGCCAACGGTTAAGTTGCCCTTTGGGTGCGCTCACGCGTCAGAATAGAGCAAACAAAGGAAGCTGTTTTCCTTTTTGGTTTCCCCCAATGGTAACCCGCATCTAAGAAGGTCTGCCCTTAACTTCCCCCCCCCCCCCGGAAAGACCAGAGCGTTGCGCCTTTATAAGCCACAGGAAAAACAAGTTGCCGAAGTGCACTTGTGGCCACACAAGTGGCCCAAGCAAGGCCGTCTTGAGGTCTTTTCTCTGACACTCGTTTTTGATTAAACCTTTAGCAGGGCTCCTTAAAAGATACATTTTGCAACCATTTGAAACATGTTGCTTTTCCAAGACCAGAATAAGGAAATGGACACCACCATTTCCAAGTTGCAACGTTCGATCGGTCTTTTTCATGCATCCGGATCCCTAGGTTCCCCTCCAAGGCCCCTTTTTTTATCTGATTCCGATGCACGAAACGTGGTCTTTGAGGCCAAACCCGGCTCTCAAATCCACGGAAACGGATCCGAGCGGCCGAGTCCCGAAACCTTGGGACGCACCAGTTTCAACGCGCCAAGACACGGACGAGATCTTTGCCAGGGCTCCATTCGTAGGATATGAAACTCTCCGAATCTGATCCTTAAAAAATGGGCCGGGTCATGGCCCAAAAAATAAGAGGTCAACTGGGCCCTTTTTCTGGGGGTCATGGAGACTCTAGGTAGACTTAAAGACCAGGTGTGTTGTTTTCTTTGGGGGAATCAACTGGCCAAACAGGGATCGAGCCCAGATCTTGGCATGTTCTTATTGAAGCCAGATCTAAGAAGTATACCTAGACTCTCCATGACCTCTTCAAAAATGGGCCCATTTGACCCCTTTCTTTTGGGCAATGACCAACCATTTTTTTAAGAGTCTAGGTATAGACCCCCTGTTGACTCCAGGTATAGACCCCCTGTTGGCAAAGGCAACTTTGGAAAGCCGAAGCCGAAGAGCCGTTCCATTGAGACCCCCCCCCAAACCTTACGTCGTCACCTGACACACGCCAACCTCCAAGCCAAGCCATTGCCTTGATCTTCCAGGACCCTGGAAAAGCAGGCCTTTGGCCGAATTTCCATTTGGAGCCAAGATCAAATCCAGAAGGACCCTGGTTTTGCGGGTCCTTGGAAGACCAAGGTTGATGTAAGGCGGATTTGGTGGCGTGTTCCCTTCGGTTTGGGGGAGGTGACGTTGGTTTCATCAACGACCAGGGGCTTGACTTTGGGTTTAAGGATGTCACTGGTTCGACTCCAGGTACTGCAACCCATACTGTGGATGGACAAAATCCATTTCACACCACGGGGGTTGCCCCGATTTTGGAACCCTTCGTGGGCAACGTGGGGTTCCACCCGGGTCCAGTCGTCCCTTTGAAAAATGGGGGCCAGGGTCCCGGTCCCTTTTGACCCGGGAGACCGCCATTTTGGGGAGTTGTTTCGGACCTTGCCAGAGGTTTCCGGTGACAAAGGTTGCGCTTTTTAGGGGTTTTCTACAGGACGTTTGCTTGGAAACCGGGTCCGGTGGTCCCTAAAACGCAAAAACGGTCTAGGATTGCGAAGCGTGAGGTTTCATGTGGACAGGAGGGTACCTGGCTTTTGGGGAGAGTTGGCTTTGTGGCTGTCTTTTGGGACTTGGTTCCCCTTTTTGTTTTCCTGTAAACCCGAAAAGGCCACCTATGGTCACTGGAAACCACCAAGCTCCCCTGAAAAAATCCAACCCCAAAATGGCGGTCTCCCCCATGGGAAAGCCCGGGTTTTCCTTTAGGAACTGGGAGCCTGGACCCCATTTGGGTGTGGGTCCAATTCAACAGGGGACCGCAGGTTGTTGGTCCATGTTTCCACCTACCGATCGGGTTCCATTTTGGGGTTACCCTATTTTTGACAACATGGACCAGGTTTCAAAAATCACCAGGGTGCTCTGGGTACCACCTTTTGGGGTTACCATATCTTTGACCACCACCGCCATTTCTCTTTAGAAGGGGACGACCGGACCCATTTGCCGGGTGGAAAAAAATCCGCACGCGCGTCGGACCGTCGGACCGTCGGACCGTCGCGTCCCGCCGAGCGTGTGAGGTCCTGGTTCTCCCGCTTGGGCGACGCCGTCGGCTCGGTGATCCTCGGGATCATCTTGCTGCCCTTCTCTCTAGTCCGGGACCCCGGCCCCGAACTCCTCGGTCGCTGCCATGGGGTGTACGGTACCCCCCACTCCAAATACCCACGCTTTTTTTCAGGGTATTTTTTGGGAAAAGCCGATCGGTTTTCCAGGGTAAATACCTCCTTTTTTAGTAGAGGGTCGACATCATACCCTGAAAAAAGTGGGTATTGGGTGTAGGGGGTAGACTTAGGATACATTTTACATACCAGTGACTCAAAGTGAAGCAAACAATAAAATAGTTATTCTATAACTGGGCCTGACTCTAATCGTGATTTGCAGAAATGAATGTAATTTGATTCACCGACTTGTTGGTTTTGAAGGGAATCGATTTCACTACTGGCCCGGGGACCCCGGGGATTTTCGACGTCGACGGGGTTTCCACCCCGTGTTTGTTTGTTTGTTTTTTGTAGGTGTCTGTTCATGTTTTGGTGGGCAAATAAGAGCAGTTTGTTGCAAGACCATACCAAGGGTGGCAAAGGTGTGCTTCAACTCGAAGGATTCGGGGAGTCCCAAGTGCCGATGTTTTTGTTTTTTTCCCCTATAATAGCCCACTATATGGCTTGCATGGAAGTATTGGCCAGGGTTCGCCGCTGAGCCTTTCTGGGATGTCACCGGGAGTCGGGAGTGATCCAGGGCTTGCATCTCTCGGACCCGAACTTTTGCCAAACCTACGCGGCGGTTTGGGGGTTCTGGTTTTGGGGCTGGGCTTAGGCTAAGCCCGCACACGCCCCAAGAACAAAACCCAAGCCCCGAAAACCATAGTCTTCCTAAACGAGAAACACTAGACACAAACAAACCGCAAAAAAACACGAACACGGACAATACACCTGCACAAAACACCAATCGACAGAAAACTTCAAGGTAGCCATACCAAGGGTTACCTACCATAGCTGAGAACCATTTGCTTAAGAATATTTTAATATTTTGTTTATTTTCTCCTGTTGGTTTTAAAATGAATCTATCACTACTGGACATATTTTTTCCAGGGGTCTTAACCAAATGGAAGCTGAGAACCAGCAAGTGAACCAAAAAGGCAATGAATTTTAAGCGCTTGGAAATAGGGAAGTGATGGACGACTACATCGGGACTCAAGTCCGTCCACAATGTGGGGTTCCGGACATTTCGATTGAAAGTGCCACTTGCTTTCACCCAACCTCAGTTGTTCAAAGGGAATCGGTCTTCCTGAAATGACCCCTTTGTCCATTTTTAGTAGTGGTTCCAAAATAAAAGGTACTTCCAAGTCCGAAATGGGCAAGTGAGCAACTCCTAGATAGCCAAGTTGCTGCTTTTTGTTCAGTCACTGTTTCGATCGGTTTTGGGCTAAAGTGGATGGAAAAAAGCGATCGCAACTGGCGATCCAGGCGTTTCCCTCCAATTCCGGTGCCACATATGTCTCCCGATTCGACTGGAGGAAGTCTTTCAGGCGTTTCTGGCGCCCTGTTTGGTCTCAATATTTTCCAAAAGATTCGGGGAGGCCCTTGTCTAGGTCTCCCAGTAATTAGTGCCCTTCTCTACCAACTTTTTTGGTTGGGAGGGTTCCCCTACTAAAATTGACTACAAAGAAAAGTTGGTACCCTTATTCTAACCTCGCTACTGGAGGACCTAGTTGTGGTTTCCCTTCAACATCATTCAAAAGGTTTCCGTGAACAACGGCACACCAAAAAAAGTCTGGTGGTTGTTTGTTGGCCAATTGGAGAGGGCGGTTGGGCGGCCCAGCCAACTATGGTTCTGATTGTCTCACTCCCGGAGTTCCGTTTCGGAGTTTAATCACTTTGCGGGTTTGGACCATTCTAGTGGCAAGCACAAAGCGCCAGCCCACTCAAGCACGGGAGTCACGTGCCGATTCTCCTCGAATTTTCATGTGGGCTGGGAAGGGGGGGGCCTTCTTAAGGCTCAAATTTTGGCTCCCTCCACCCCCCCTCCCCCCCCAGAGGCACATCAAGTTATGGGATTGAGTACCTTAATAAGCCTTGGGCTTCCCTCCCCTCCAAGCCCTTATGCAGCCCTTGACCCCCCCCAGCCTTTCCACGACTCACCCAGCTCCCAGCGAAACAGCGAAAACAACTTTGAGGGCTCCCTCCACCCCCTTATTAAGCCCTTGCCCGCCCCCCCCCGCCCCACGACTCACCCGGCTCCGAGCGAAAAACCACTTTTGCTTGCGGTGCCGCCCCCCCCCCCGCCCCACGACTCACCCAGCTCCTAGCGAAAAAAAAACTTTTGCTTGCGGTGCCGCCCCCCCCCGCCCACGACTCACCCAGCTCCTAGCGAAAAAAAACACTTTTGCGTGCCCCCCCCCCCCCCCCGCCCCACGACTCACCCGGCTCCTAGCGAAAAAAAATCTTTTGCTTGCGGTGCCGCCCCCCCCCCCCCCCGCCCACGACTCACCCGGCTCCGAGCGATCAATTTTTTGATGTGTTCGAGGTGCTCATGTGGCTGAACGAGCAGCGGAGCGCCCGCCAGGAGTGCATCCTGCAACTGGGCAAGAACGAGGCCGGCGGTGTTTCGGTACAGCCAGTTCCTTTCGGCGGGCTCGGCGGTGCTTTGATCGGATGGAGTTCCAGACACCCAGTGGGCAAGTCCTTGAAGAAGAACTGGTTTTTGGGCGGCCTCTTCTTTTTCAGCTTCATGGGTGATGAAGAAAAACTTGGTCTTTGGGCGGGGTCTTCTTTTTCATCCTTCCAATTGGTGATTTGGGTTGGTGGTTTGGTGGTGCAAATCGAGTGGTTTCCAACATCCACCCTCTACAAAAGCGCCAGGGGCCCAACTCCAAATCCAGATCCAAACCAGCGGGGTCCAAACTTGCCAAGCTGACGGGTGACTTGACTTTTAAACCGACGGATGCCGAGGTGTTTGGCCCTTGGAAGTCCAGGGGTCGTGTGTTTTTTTTTGCTTAGCCCTGGTTGGCCCCAACCCTGGTTGGCCCCAACCCTGGTTGGTTGGTTGGTTGGTTGGTTGGTCCGAAGTCCAGTTTACGTCCTCGCTGTTGCTAGCGAACATGGACTCAGTGGTTCAGTGGCCCCGAGCCTCTTTTTCCGTACGTTTCTTTTGGTGGCTGCCCCACTAAAATGGTCCAAGCCCGAAAAAAGGGTTCCCTTTTTTCCAGGGTCACTGAACAACTGAGTTGAGAAGTCGTGCCGTGTTGACTTTGCTGGCAGCGCAAATACATGTATATATGAGTCAGTTTGTTTTTGAGGCTCAGTACCCTCTTTGGGGTTGCTTAGGGAAACCAAGGGAATTGTTCCGATTCCCTGCCTCCGCAGGAAAAATGCGGCAGGATTCATTTGGGATCTAGTATAGTATTTCTCAATCCTAGCATGTTGGTACCATGTGGTACCTCAATGTTGCGCGCTCACTTGTTCGGTCAACGAGGGGGGTTTACACGTGAGTGTTTGCAAGTAGGGAGCATAGGTGTCCTTTTTGGTGGTTTGGTCGAAAACTCGAGGGCGATTCCTGGCTTACCTGGTGGTTTAATCATCTACCAGGGAAACCCATCTATTTGGCCTAAAAAGACACCTATGGTAGGGAGCCACCCTTGTTTAAGATGGATTCCTGGAGGTCTTCATTGAACAAGCAACAACTCCGTTCGTCGATGTTCTCATCCGAAGTGGCTTCCATTGCGAGACCGTTCCGTGGTGGTTTGCCTCGTTCAACCAATCGACGAGCATCGTTCCTGACCCTGTGGGTTCATTAGCAAACTCACATGGTACGTGAGGCTTCAGCTTTTCAGAGAAGTAAGCTTGTTTGACCAATCCACTCAGAAAGTGAGTTGCTAGACCCTCCATGGCCCGTAAAAAATGGTTCTTCACTACCCAAAAGAAAGATTCGGGTCATGACCAACCATTTTCAATGGGCCATGGAGGGTCTAGGCACTCAGAAACTGCGACTACCTAGACTCTCCGTGAGAATTGAAAAATGGGGTCATGAGTCATGACCCGAATCTTTCTTTTGGGCAATGACCCGGCCCATTTTTCAAGGGTCAGAAGGAGACTCCTACAGCTTCTCTTGTTTGCGGGGGACGTGGGTCATGTTTTCTTCAGAGCTTCGGGGTTTCGAAGCCCAGCTCGGTCCGGAAGTTTTGAGTGAAACGTCTCAGGTCTCACAGGGCCGGACCGGACCGAACCTCGTACCTAGATAGCCAAGTTGCGATCGCTTTTTTTCAGCCACTGTTGCGATCGGTTTTGGGGTAAAGTGGATGGAAAAAAAAGCGATCGCAACTGGCGATCCAGGTAGCCTTTTTGCTGGGAAGTGAAGTTTTGTTCCCCAAAAAGGCAGAAAGTGACTCACTTGCCCAGAGCGAATCGACCTTTTGACACCTTTGGGTTTAATCCCCCCATCCCCCTGTTGTTGGTCGATTTTGGTTCCAGATCCTTTGGGGCAAGCGGGGTGAAGAAGTTGTTGGTGTGGAGCTTTGGATGTCGGGTCTCGAGTGAGCAAGACTTCCATTCCTTCATCATTCTTGGCATTTTGTATGTGGCTTTTTGGGTTCCATGTTCATTTTAACTGGGGAACTGCAAACACCAGTTGTTTGCAAGCCCATACCAGGTTACCCTACCAGGCTTTACCAAAAGGTTAGACATAAAAGTTGTTTGCACCGGACGGAAAACGGTCGTACAGATTCCTGAATCGCCGTCCGTTGCTTCTGAGCCAAGAGCGCGGTGTAGGTGCAGACCACGAGCTCCAAGCCGCAGCCCCAGCGAGTTCTCCGCAACACTTTTCATAGGCTGACTAAGCCGTAAACCTCTTGGATGGCCATTTGTTTGGGGTGGTCCCCAAAAAACGAGATGAACACTTACCCAGTGCTGAAAACAGGCGTTTCGCTCTATAGTAGGTAGCCGGGATGATTCAAAACTTAGAGGTAAAAGTGCCTGGTTACCTACTATAGTGGCAACTGGAAGCACTGGGCTTTGTTGATCAATACCATCTTGTGAAACTTCACTGTTCTTGTTTGGTTCGGCCTGCAAAAAGCAAAGTTCTTTGCTACCATACCAAGGGTTGTGCAGAAAACCCAGAGGTAACAGCGCCACTTTTGCCTAGCGGCTTGCCTGAAAGCACTGGGCTTTTTCTCCACAAAATCAATAGCTACCTAGACTCTCCTTCTGACCCTTAAAAAAGGGTTGGTCATTGCCCAAAAGAAAGATTCGGGTCAAATGACCCCCTTTTTTCTAGGGGTCAGAAGGAGCTAGCTAGTGGGTCCCAAAAGTAGCGTCTGAGACCGGCAACGCCAAAAATCTTGGCTCCCTGCGATCCGGTTCTTTGAGCTCTGATCACTTTTAGTGTTGAACGTGGTACCTAGAGTCTCCGTGACCCGACCCCTAGAAAAAGAAAAAGGGCCCATTTTGACCCAAATCTTTCTTTTGGGCAGTCTGACCCGGCCCATTCTTTTAGGGTCAGAAGGAGAGTCTAGGTAGTTTCCGAATTGAACCCACGAAAAGTGATTTTCACTTTTCGCCGGATCAGAAAACGTTTCGGCAGCCCAGTTCTGAATCTGCCATTCGGGTCATCTGAATGGGGCAGGTCCTTTCCCTCGAAAATCCGATTCTTTCAGGATGCGGACTGGAGAGCTGGGCCGACGCCCTTTCAAGTATTGGGTGCGTAGTGAAGCTTCCATTTGCTTTTCGGAATATAATACGTTTTCCCCTGTTGATTCTGAAGGGAATCCATCACTACTGGATTATCGATTTTTGTTTGTTTGTTCTAGGCGGCTTGAACCCCCCCCCCCCCCGAAAGGGTGGTTTACCTTTTGGTTGTCCTTGACAACCACAAGAAGGGGTACCCTCAAGAACGACGCGCGCTCGTGGTTCCCTTTTAGCCAAGCCCAAGGGGTACCGATCCTCAAAAAGCTTTAGGGAACGCACTTCGGGCAACGCCCTGGAAATGGGGTTGGTCCAACATCAATGTCCGACTTTCTCTTTTCTTTATCGTGCCATGGTCAAAAAAAAGCATCTTTACTTTGGGGGTATCAGGAATTGTCATCCACCTAGTAAGGACCCTTAATAACATGCAAATTATTCCTATTAGGGGAACCATGCGCATATGCCATTTGCAATGACATTCGATGCTTTCTTAGTATAAGCCGTTCGAATCCATCCCTTTTGAGATTTGGACCGCTCTGAATGGTGTCGGTATCAGAGACGCCCACTGCGTTGAGGGGTGATCACACGCTGGACCTTTATCTGCAAGTCGTGGTCTTCCAGACTTTCTCTGGATACATGCTCTGCCCATGCATGGACCCCCAAGTCGCATCTCAATGTCCCGGTATGCGAATTACGCGGATCTAGCTGCGGACGGCGTCAGCGCCTCATGCTATCGCTACAACACGCGAAAATGTACCTCTGTCGTAGATCTCGATCAGGCCAATCATATGAAGGTTTCCTTCGCAATGTCTATTGGCGTGTTTTCGAGGGATCCTTTTGGGAGAAAATAGTTTCTGTTTTTTTTTGTGGGGACCCGGCAGGAACTGAGGGTTTCTTCCATGAGACCAACCCAATGTTTCCAATCCACCCGAAGTCTCGGGGGATTGTCCCGCCCATCGCCCTCCTTCTCAGCCGAGTTTGAGCGCCCAAAGCCTTGACCATCTCAGGTGCTTCAAAACCTACAGAGATGCACCGGTTGGTTTATCCCATTGCAGGGTTTCATCCATCCCAACGTCAGGATTTTGTCCACGGGTGTGAGGCCGAGGTCATCCTTCCCTTATGTTAGAACCAAACATTTGGGGTGGAAACGGCATGGGGGATGTTTGGGTTGGCCGAGCCTCTCGCTCGAGGTCCGTTTCGGGACTTGGTCGCTTGGGTTTGGATCATGTTAGACTCTGCTGAACCTTTGAAAATGGTTGGTCATGACCCGAATCTTTCTTTTGGGTAATGACCATCCCATTTTCAAAGGGTCATGGAGAGTCTAGGATGATAGGAAATGCATAAGGCTCCGACTTTTCTGGGGCCGATCCACCCGGAGAGGGCAAGATGGTAAGGACGGGGAAGGCTTATCAAATCCCAGGGACTCACGACTTGGCCCCCAGAGAACAGCAGATGGGTATGTGTCAAAATAGGGGTGCCGAAAAAACAACAGCTGATTTGCCTTTTGGTTCCCCTCAAACCAAACCCAAAAAGGATATCCGGAAAGACACAAATGTTGAGTCTGCCCTCTCAATTCTACACCATATCGCCAGATGGCGGTGTCTCAAATAGGGACCCCTTTTTCGCTGAAATCTGGAAGTGAACCAAAAGGAAACCGCCTACCTGAAAAGATCCCCTATTTCATGACATACTCATTTTGCTTAACCAGGCTGTAACTCTCTGAGTGTGACCGTGACCCACACTCATATCCTGGCATACCCCCAAAGACCTGACAAAATCGAACATGGCAAGCTAGAGCGACCTTCCAACAGGATTCCTGGGATACATCAAGGACTGCCGCAACCATTTGCCTTGGGGCTAATGTTGATCAACCCTAGTTTGTTTAACAGGGCTCCTTAAAAGATCTCCATTTTGCAACCCTTTGAAACATGTTGCTTTTCCAACACCAAGATACATTTTGCCACCATTTGAAACATGTGGTTTTTTCAACCCCAAACTAAAGTTGGACCCCACCATATACAAGTTGCCATGTTCGATCGGTGTTTTTTTCACGCATTCGGATCCCTGTTTTTCATCGGGCGGTGTCCCCGGGTCTCGTGGGGTCATCGCTTTCGGAGGGGCCACCCCTCTAGGAATACACTGGGGTTGAGAAAAAATATGAGGTCAACCTTCGCCAAGCTTCATCCAAAGAGCTTTTGTTTGTGGCTCAGATGAGAAAACACCAGGTGAGAGGTGTGACAAGGTGAGAGGTGTGAGCATTTGGATAGTCGTCGCCAAGTATGAAATATGGGCCTAAGGGATTTATTATTTTGGTTGAAAGCGAAATTTAAAAGCAGATTTACGTAGAGTTTGCACATATCCTATGGTTGTCACGGCCCCCCCAATCGGGGCTCCCCAATCCCAATAGGGGCTGAACAAAAAAAATAAGGCCTGGGGGTCCCCTTTGGGGGGCCCCCTGAAAACCATGGGAACAGTTCTGGGGGTGCCTCCCCCATTCTGAACCCGATCCGAATTTCTTTCTAGAACACCTCCAGAAACCCAAGAGGACGGCGATGGGTTTTCAAAAAGAAGGATGGTTGAAAAGAATGGACAAGGAATCCACCCCTAGAAACATACCCAAACAAACAAATCCCAGACATGTCTCCACTGCTCTCCGCTGAAACCAGCCGTTTTTGCCTCGGACTCCTCGCACTGCTCTGATTTTTCCGAGGTCGGTGGATTTCGACAAGCACGGCTCGCACGGATGCCAAAGCTCGATATGCGCAGAGTTGCCAACCAAGGCTAGGCCCCCCAGCTAGGTGCCCTTTTACCAGCTTGTTTGGGGGGAGGGTTCCCCTACTAAAATAGACTACCGGGGAAAAAAAAAGAAAAACAAAAAACGGGTGACCTTTTTTTTGGTTCGACCGTTGTTGCGCATTTTGTGTATCGCCGGGGTAGGGGCTCAAAGAGAAACCAAAAACAGCACACCCATTTGTGTGTGTCCATTTTGAGACAGACCCACACCTGTCATTGGAGTTGCTTCCGCGTGTGTGTTCTCATTTTTAGAGGCACGAGAGGAGACAGTTTCGGCCATGAGCTGATTTGCAAGATGCCCTTGTGAAGGTTGTTGGATGTGTCTTTGACGGAACCCTGTTTGGCCAGATGGGTAACTGTCTTCGGGCTCCGACTTTCGGTTGGTTGACAGGGTGTCTGGTTTTGGAAGTTGAGAAGTTCTGCGGAAATCAACCGAGGTTACTCACCTGCAGATTGACATGGCATCCGGATAAGTGCTCCGTTGGGCTGTTTCACTGCAAATTCACGTGGAACTTCAAGAGGGGTTCCCCCAAAAACGGAGATTCGTCTGATTCTCGCAACTGGGGTGCGTTGCAAATCTTCATGTTCCATTCCAGCAAACCTGACCAGTTTCCAGCCAGAGGTTCAGATTTTCTGGGCTTTGTGACACATCCCACTTTAAGCTTACCGAGCACTTCCCGGCAAGCTAGCAACCAGGGCTTCTTACCTCTAGGTTTTGCATCATGGTGTCCCTTGATTGCCTACTATGCTGGAAACTGGAAGCACTGGGATGTGTTTTAATACTGGCCCCGGATGAACAAACCCCAGTTCATTAATAGGGGGGGCCCTGGGTTTAGTGGAGAATCATCACGTGTGGAGGGGAACACCCACCATATTAACAAACTGGGGTTGATTCATTTGGGGTCAACATTAACCCTGTTCTTGACCTAAAGGCAGTGGGTATTATTGGGAAATCCCCAAAGCTTGTGTTTTACCAAGCGATCACAGTTCCCGTTTTGCCGGGGGCTGGGGGGGGGGAGAGTCCGTGGGATCCGTGCTCGCACAAAGGTGGTCGCTCGGTTGAGCCAGAGCCGAGGTTGGTGCACCTCAATGATGCGGCGGCGGAGGGGAAAGAGCGCTCCTCGTCCGCCGAGTTTCAGCCAGCTACAGGCGTCCTTGCTTGGTGGCTCCCAGCGAACCATCCGGTTCAACTTGGCGTTTTAGTTGTTTTTGGTTGGTTTAGTGGTTGGGTGTCCGAATTTAACCTACGAAAAGTTACACTCTCAGCAGGGGATCTGAAAACGGAAGCCCAGATTATGTTGACAGTTTCTGAGAAACTGAAATTGATTTCCCTTTAACCTGCCTTTTAGGGGGGGTGACTTTGACAATCATGTTGACCCCGGATTAGTAGACCAACCAGTTTATTAGTTCGGGTCAGTAATTCGGGGGGGGGGTTAGTGGGGATTGGAGGGGAGCACCCCCATATTCATAAAAAGGGTTTGTCAATCCGGGGTCAACACTAGTGAAGCTTCATGACGCCAGCGTCGTCTTGCGGGTTTCCCCATTTTGATTCCGGTTGACCGGTTGACCTGATTCATAGCCATCCCAGTTCGCTATTTTTTTTGGGGGGGAAAAGGGTGTCCTTTCAGTGGGAGGATTCCTTTGGTTTCATTCCTATGTTGGTTGCTGGGTTTTAGCCAATGGTGTTTGTCTACGGTAAAAGAGTGGTTTTGGTTTTGGCTTTCCTTTCAACCACCACCCAAACAGGGCGAAAAGGGTAATGACCCCCAAGAAGCCCAGGTATCCCCAGCCGGGACCTTCCGAACTCTCCCTGACAGCTTGTTCCGAGTTGGACTTCAGTCCCACGGAAGACCGTTTTGGATCGTTTTGGCTCACAAGTCGTTGGTGACTTTTGGCAGCGAACTTAGAGAATCTTTCGGAGGGCTCGCCCAGCGAATCACTTCCTCCCTTTTATCCTTGGGGTCCCCTCCCATATTTTATATAGGGAACCACCTATTATATATATATATATACATATATATATATATATATATATGAAACCAACCCAGAACTATCAAACCAACTTTTTGTGTCATGTCTTTTTCTTTGCACACCCGCACACCGTTTTTTTTGTTGTTGTGTGTTTCCGTTGTCTTGGGAAAATATTTCGATAAAAAAAGCCGTCTCAGCCCGGGCTCCTTTTCAGCGGAAAGGATCCCATGGACGGATCGGAGTCGATCGGAGTCCGAGGCTTGGAGGACCGGCGCTTCGCCTTGAGCCTCTCCAGCGCCTTAAGGCGGGTGCAGATTGATGGGCGGCGGTGGGTTCCGGAAAGAGGTTCCCAGGAGCGTTTTTGGTTGGTTCGAAGGTTCCTTGGTTGCTGAAGGTTTCTTGTTCTTTTTAGGTTGCTCCGTTGGGTTATAAGGTTGCTACCTTCACTCTAGGAAACTATGGCCAACCCACACCATTTCTGCGCAGCCCAGGTTTAGTTGATATTAGCGGAACCAACAGGTTGTAGAGGTTCCTTGATTTTAGAGGATTTGGGGGATTGGCCAAGCCAAAGCATTTTTGGCCAACCTAGGATACATTAGAGGTGTTTAGAGGATCCTTGATTCTTCTTGGAGGTTCCTTGGCTCCTTAGAGCTCCGTTGGGTCATATGGTTGCCACCTTCACGCTAGGAAGCGGTTTGGATGTGGATCTTTTCTGGATCCAATTTTGTAGAATATTAACAGAGTACAACAAGATTACTAAAAAAGGGCTAGCAGGGGGCAGGATACATGTTGGTGGGTGGGTGGGTGGGTGGGTGGGTGGGTGGGTGGGTGGGTGGGTGGGTGGGTGGGTGGGTGGGTGGGTGGGTGGGTGGGTGGGTGGGTGGGCGAATTTTCTATGGACATTATAACTAATGTAAAAGGACACATGGAAACGTTCTCACTCTCCTGATTGTTTTGAGGAAAGAAATGGATGGGTAACCCACTGATTTAGATTGGTTTTGTGTATCATGTCCTAGGAAAGCCGCATCTATGTGTCCAAAAGGTTTCAGAGTTGGTAATATGTGGGTGTCTCTTCTTTGCAGGGGCCCCTAAACAAGTGGTTTCCCCTTTGGGCTTCCCTTGTTACCCTTACTCTCAGTTGTTCAAAGCCGACCTTTTGTCCTTTTGGTTTTCCCATGTTGGTCCATATTTAGTCACGGCCACAAAAGGTTAACCTTTTAGTTCCAGGTGCTCTGGGCAGCTGAGCAATTGGTGCTTTGGACAGTTGGTTGGGATTTGGATTTGAAGCAACCAACTCTCCAAATCCCAACCAACCAATTGCTCAAACCAACTCGTTTGGTTGGGAGAGTTGGTTGCTTTGAGCAATTGGCTGGGATTTGGAGTTGGAGTTGAAGCCCTGGTCCTTGTAGAAGGTAAACCTGGTTTTCACCCCTGAAAAGTTGGGATTTGGAGAGTTGGTTGGTTCTTGTAGAGGGTAAATGGGGGGGGGAAATCACCCCGGAAGACCACCAAACGATTGGGCTTTAAACCGCCAGTTGGAGGGAAGCCGTAAAATCGGGGTGGGTGTCTTGTGGATGGAGGAAATCCTTCACCTGAGAAACGCGGGAATGATTTGATTCCCTTGCAAATGCCAAACAAACAATGGTTTCAACCATGGTTTCAGAGTGGTGCGAAGTGGATTTCGTCCATCCAGAAGCATGGCCTGTTTAGATGGTCTTGGAACTGGCTAACTGGTTCGCTCGCGAGCCCCAGTAAGGGCTGAACGTTTATGTTGGGTGGACATGAAGACATGTTCGTCTTTTTTCTAGACGCTCTTCTTTTTGCACAGGGATGGCTTTGAGGGTAAGGATTCAGGGTAGATGGGGGGCATGGGGGTTGGTTTCCTCCCATGAAAGTTCTCTGGGCTCTACAAGGAGAGCGCGATCGAACACGGACCCTGCAATTGGGCTTGGTTGCCTTCTTTGTGGTTGGGAAACCAAACAAAAATGCCACACGTCATGGGGGTGCCCCGTTTTGACACATGCACAGGACCTTGTTTTTTTTCTTCAGAATTCGCGGTTGCTCCAGATCAAAACCCGCGGGCTCGGAGTTGCAAGTTTCCTTTCTCAGTGCATACAGGCAAGCCACTCTAGGACACCAGGGGAAGCCAGGATGTACATCCCAAAGGTGGCCATGCCCAAGGGTGAGTGTTGACCCCGGAGGAATACCCCGACCCCTGTTTATTATGGGGGTGTGCCTGGGTTTAGTGGGAATCATCACTGTTGGAGGGGTACACCCCCATATTAATAAACAGGGGTTGATTAATCCGGGGTCAACATTACCCAGCGGCGAAACGCCAGGAAGCTCTTTCCCTTTACAAGGGACACTTCAGCGAGGAGCAACCCTGTCGTTCCCCAGGTCCTACCAGGGTCCGTCTAAGCATGTTCTTTTGGTTAGGGGCTCTGCGAGTTTGGAGGGAAATCAAAAAAACACCTCCAAAAACAGTGGGCTCTAAATTTCTCTGTTCTCCTTCAGTGGGCTGAATTGGAAGAACACCGAAAACAGCCGCCTTGTCTGGATAGACTTCGGATACGTTTTACATTTTACCAGTGACTCAAAGTGAAGCAAGCATTGACATATACATTCAACTGGGCCTATAATTCTCATCATGTGTGTTTTTCTGCATGTCTCACAGGGTTGATTCCCCATTCTTTTCAGCCATTGTTCTTTTCCAAAACCAGCCATTTCTCCAGGGTTTTTGGTTTTCTAGAAAGATTCGGATCCCTGGAAAGAATGGAAATGGAAGTTACTCTGAGAATTTCGGTCGTGTCCCTTGAGTTTTTTGCTCAAGGCCAACCCCCAACTCCCCTCACCCCCCGCAAAGCCCCCCGCGAAGCCCCCGCGAAACGCCAGACTGCGCTCCACCGTGGAGGTGTACCAGTGGGAAGAGCAGAAGCACGAGGAGAAGAAGAAGGACCGGGGCGCCTGAGCTGGCTGTGGGTCAAAAATAGGTACCCAAAATGGAACCCAAATAAATGCAAACATGGACTAAAATCTGCGGTCCCCTGGTGATTTAATATTGACCCAAATAATATTGCTTATTGGAGGGTTCTCCATTGGAGGGGGTGTGCATTGGAGGGGTGACCCTTAGGGCTGGGCTGTTGGTTTTAAAAGGAATCTATCACTACTGGAAATGTTTTTTTTTTTTTTTCTCCAAGGGTCTTAACCAAATGGAAGGATAGTCAGGGAATGAGAAACGGAATCATAAACCATTCCTGATGGCTTCCTGTAAGGGACCGCTTGGGTTCATTCCCACATCCCCTACTGACCAGCAAATAAGGGGGGGAGGTCAAAAATCCACCTGGAGTCACCCTCGGTTTATTTGCGAGGGACATAGGGGAAAGCTGGAAACAGTATCCTGCAACCACGAAAAGGACTCACTAACTCACCAAGTCCTGGGGAAACAATCTTTTGGTTTCTTTTGGATAGCGTCCTTAGCGCTAAACATTAATCAAATGTCTCAATCGGGCCACGATCTGTTAATTTTCCTAGTAAATGATCATAGACAACAAACCCACGTCTTGGCTCTTCTGCCAAAATACCAGCCAGTCTTTCTTTTTGAAACTTGATAGGGGTATGGAGCGCCACTTTAGGGCGGACGAGGGTGGAATCGAACCCCTAAACCGCTTCCAAAAACTGACCAAAAAGACCACACTTTTAGCCTAGGGACATTTGAATCCCACATAAAACCTTTGGTGGAACAGCTAAACGGTCAAACCCCAGCATCGGCTAGACTGGAGGCTTCATGCCAGCATGAACCTCAGAAACTGGTTCGACATCCTGAAACCATTGGTCCTTTAGACTACCTCGATGTTGCTTACAGAGCCCCAGGAGAAGCCCAACCTGAAGCCGTTGGGGTACCACGCAAAAGAAAAGTGCATGGGGCTGGGACTTGGAGCAATCCAATCAATTCATCATGCCTGGACCCTCAAGATTCCAACTTAAAAGGTGAGTGATTGCCCCAACAGTATCGGGTGAACCTCCTTTTTGATGCGTAGCTTGAGGGTGGCAGCTTTTTTGGTTGGTCATTGTTTCAGCCCTGGCCTGGGTTCTCCTGCAGCACTGCAGAACTAGAACTAGGTCACCCAGCTAGGTGCCCTCCTCTCCCCTTTTTTGGGGGATGGGTTCCCCTACTAAAATAGACTACAGAAAGAAGTTGGTACCCTTATTCTAACCTCTCTACTCAAGCGCCTAGAGAATTTGTTTTACGGCAGAATCAAACAGCGGTGTCCGAAGTTGCACACGTCTCAAAACCACAAGAAAAATCGACCTCTCCCCCAACAAGATCCCGATTTCCAGTTCGATGTTCGAGGACTCGGTGGGCGGAGGGGAGAGCGTGGTGACCACCTACAATTACAACAAGAAGTGGTGCAGCTTCTCGCGCGACAACAGGCGCTTGCTCGCTCACCAGCAGGTCCCGTGTTTCAGGTTTGGAATGCGCAAAGGTTGACCCCATATGCATCAACCAACCTGTTTGTTAATATGCAGGTTGGTTTTGGCCCCTCCAAGAGCGGTCTGATTCCAACCACTAAACCCAGTTCCCCGCTATGGATACAAACGTGGGGTTGTCTACCAAAAGACTCCACCATGGGGTCGTCTACCCGACAAACCACGGGGTCGTCTACCATCAATATGGGGTCCACAGTAAGCATCAGAACGGGCCCTCCATTGAAGGGGTCAGGACCTCCATTCAAAACCTTTGGACCTCAAAACGGGCATTGTTCAGGTACCAAGATGCTTCGGGTACAGTAAAATATACAAATTTGAGGTTCATGGATTGGGTTCTTTGGCCAGCTTTTGTGATACCAAAGAATCCCCTGTGTTCAAAATCGGGGGCCAGTGATCAAGTCATGGGGATGGCTGGCTGTATCACAGAAAGGGCATGAGGCTTGGTAGAAAGGAGCCCATTGTCGGGGCCACATTTCGTGGGCCAGTCACCCAATATGCGAGGTGATTTCCAGACTTGTCTGTGGTTCATTTGGGAGGGACGAGAAGTGTACAACAACTTGGGGACGAGCCTTCATTTTGCTTAGTCCTCTTGAAGCACGGTTCATATCTCCGGGGCCCAACACGAATCGACCCTGAAACAGCGGACCTTTTAAAGGGTACCAGCTGGGGCTAGTTGGTCCGGCACCCAGCCACCATACCAGCTGGTTCAATCCAAATCCTTGTACAGCAGGTGGCTTCAGAATGTATCCTTGGTCCGGATTACGCACGGACGGGTGATCTCCAGGGGTCCAAAAAGGCAGCTTCGCACTGGGCGGACACCCGCCCTTGAAATATACACCGGGACCCCCAAACTTAAAAGGATGTTGCCCCAAAACTATGGGTTGAGATCCTTCTCTTTTGAGATGGTCCAGGCACCTCCTTTTTTCTTTGTCTTTTTTCTCGGGGGGGGGGTCGAAACCGAGGGCCTTCAACTCCCGGAGAAAAAACAAAAAAAAAGAAGAAACAAAAAGCCTTTGAACCCCAGGAGTGCCGTGGAAAATCCCTAAGTAGGGTCTTTGAACTGCAAAGGCCTCTCTTGTGACGCTTGGGGCTCGGCAATGCCTAGACTCTCCTTCCGACCCTAAAAAACCATGGGGCAATGACCAACCATGATTTTGGGGAATGACCAAACATTTTTTAAGGGTCAGAAGGAGACTCCAGGTGCAATCAACTTTTTCCGATCGACGGCAGACTTGAGGTTACACCATCGACTCGGGGAACTTCAAGCAGCCCTCCCACCGCAACACGTTGGCGGTGGAGAACCTCAAGGCGCGCGTCATGCGCCCAAAGCGCGGGCCGTGGGCCGGGGGCCGGCGGTAGCTCTCGAAATGGTGATCCTCGAGGAGAGCTTCGTGCACTAGGTCCCGCAGCTAGGTGCCCTTCTTCACCAACTTTTTTGGTTGGGAGGTTTTTCCTACTAAAATAAACTGCAGAAAAAGTTGGTACCCTTATTCTAACCTCTCTACCGGAGGACCTAGTCCAGTTGCGTACACCTGGAGTCTCCATGACGCTTTACAAATAAATCATTACCCCAGGTCTGTCGAACGCACAAAAGGGTTGTAAGGGATTCTTTGAGTTTTTGGCAGAAGCAACCACAGGCGTAGGTGTCCTTTTTACGATAGTTTGTGTAGACATGCATGCACTGGTTGAGTTTACAATTTACCAGGGAAACCCATCTATTTTTACGACCTGAGGGAGTACCTAAAACAAACACCCTTTTCAGAATTCAGAACCCCGACACTTTCACTTTTGTGTTGGTCTGCCAACAGCAGGGCTCCCTATATCCCCCCTGTCGGTTGGTATTTAAGCATTGCCTTTTGGGCTGTTTGGGCCATTTTCCTTTTTGTTTGTGTGTGGGGGGGGGGGGGCGATGTTTAAAGAGGACATATGGCAATGCCAGTCGCGGATTGAGAACCCCCTGGTTGATGAATAGGGAGGTCTGCTTTTAGTGCGGGGGGGAGGGGGGTCATCACTGTTGGAGGAAGCGGACCCAATAGCACGGGTTATTGCTCCGAGGTCAACATCGAATGTGGTATACGAACTTACAACTCTGGTAAGTACGGTGGATGCCCTAAATATTGAAAGTGGGGAACAAGGGACCATTCTGTAAATTCAACCATGGGATTGGTTTACTTGCAACATCCAGCGTATTCCAGGGATTGGCCCCGGGATCCCGAGCCAACTTTTATATAACGAGGCGCAAGGGACCCTCTAGGCCATAGCAATGAGGTTTTGCCTGCACCACTCAAGAAACGATGGGGAACCATTGTTCGTTGGTATTTACAGGGGGAATCGACTCATTTCGAGGGTTCCTGAAAGGTGGTGCGAAATGGATTTCGCAACCATCCACAGCAGGTTTTGGGACCGGCCGAGTGCGAATTCGATCGCCGCTGGCTTTTTCCGCCGCCTCCAGGTGGGCACCGAGGACTTGAACAACCCCGTGGTGAAGTACGGAGCGCCCCGGCGCCGAAAAAAGCCCGCGGGGGCAGGCAGTCCAGTGCTTGAGCCCCTGGTGGTCCCTTGGGTTTTTGTCTCAGGGGAGAACCCCTATGCTTTGGTGCAGTTTGCCAAGGGATGTTAGGACTTTAACTTTTTGCCAACGAAGAGGGGTTTTCCATTAAACCACCAAAAGTTACACTTTTAGCAGGGGAGCAACCCCTACTTACATGATCTGGAAGTTGGCCCACCAAAGCCATGGTTGCAAGTCCTCTATAACTGGGGGTACGAACATTTAGCTAAGCCCCAGACCACCCAAGCATGGGTGCCACCCATTGGGTGGTGTCCAAAAAGATTGGGTTTCCCTTGAAGCCAACCTCAAATATTGTGGATGGATGGTTGCGAAATCCGGAAGTCGCACCATGACTTGAAATCCTGTGAATGAAACCATTGTTTGTTGGTGCTTTCTGGTACCAGGGGAATGATCATTCCAGGTTCTTGGGTGGTGCAGGATTTTGTCCATGCACAGTATTGAGGGCGACCTCGAAGAGTCATTCTTTATGGCTACCTAGAGTCTCCACGACCCCTAGAAAAAGGGCCCATTTGACCCCTTAATTTTAGGCAATGACCCGGCCCATTTTTTTAAGGGTCAGAAGGAGAGTCTAGGTAGTGACACACACTTAAAGCTTATGACAACATGACCCCCTTTTCTACTTCACCGTTCTTGGCATGTTTTTTGGTTCTTTAGTTTATTGGTTCTGTTCATTTTTACTGGGGGCCGCGGAAAAAAAGGTTTTTTGCTACCATACCAAGAGTAGAGATGACAGTGCCTTCCTGATTTCGATCGGCCACTTTACATACATCCCAGGTTCTTCGCCCCGAGAGCAAGCCAACCACAAAATTCCAACCAAGCTTGGAATTCATGTGGATGGTTGCGAAATCCATCTTGCGCACCACGTAAGAAACCTTGGGAAGAACCAATTCCCCTGTAGATACCGACAAAAAATGGTTCCAACCATTTTTTCTTGGGTGGTGCAGGATTTTGTATCGGGTGGTTGAAGCCCTTGATGTCCTAGAGCTGGCAAAGTTGGAAGTCACCGGGGCTATCATGGGTGTCCTTTTTGGTTGTTTTGGTCGAAAAATCGATGGGTTTCGATTCCTGTTTGACCTGGTGCTTTCATCATCTACCAGACAAAAACCCATCTATCTCCAACCTAAAAGAAAAGACGCCTATGGGGGCTATGGTTTGCACGACCCGAAAAATTTGCAGACGTGCGGCTTGCGAGCTTCTCATGACCAAACTGGGGTTTGTTTTAGTTTGGAACGTGCCAAGTTTCCAAGGACCCTGGGGTAACAAAAAGGGTTGGTCCCACTGGTCGGTTTCCCATAGGGGCCATAGCTATGCCATAGCTATGGTTAGTAGTTTCCCATACTTAGATGGTCTGGGACAAAATTCTACATGGTTAGCTTTGCCCTGGTCATAGCGGACTTACAACCATGGCTTTGGGGTGGGTTATATAGCCAGAGCAAAGCTCCCCGATCATCGAGGAAGGGGGCCAGGGTGGTTCAAACCCGTTTTGCCCAGCTGTTTTGGCCGTAGCAATGTTCCGAAAGGCTTTGATCTTGTCTTTTGGCGAGCGTTCCAGCAGGCTTTCAAGTAATTTTTCTCTAAACCTTTTCCTACGCACCTTCCTTCAAAGACCCATAGCCCCCATCTGTATACGGGCTTAATACGCCATGGGTGTGGCTCAAAATTAAGGATCTAGTGTTACGCAGGTGTTCGTCTTTGGTTCCATTTACCAAGTGTCATGTTGGTACATTTTGAGCCACAACTCAGCCAAACCAAAGCCAACAAAGGCCGCAGCAGTGAAAGAGGCCTGGCTTTCTGATGGCTTTAGACGCTCCGAATCTGACCCCTTGAAAAATGGCTGGACTCATGACTTTCGAATCTTTCTCTTGGGTAACGACCAACCATTTTTAAAGGCTTATGGAGAGTCTAGGTAGACATGATTATATACATGTATATATATATGCATAATTTCATGTCAGCAACAAACGATTTTCTGTGTCAATGATGCACCTAGATTGTTCCCCCAGCTCCTTTTGTGTTGAGCAACGGCAGACCAAATACACGAGGCCAATTCCCCCTTGCTCATCCCCGGAGGGATATACTTTAGACCTAGACCTCCAATCTGTTGGTTCGCCGCTGGAGTTCTGCGATGACGAATCTGAGTCTACATGCAAAAACGGGTCCTTCCTAGTGGATCCCAGGCGTTTCGCCCTAGTTGGTAACCAGCTATTGTTTTCTTTTCGTTTTTTAGAGCTACTATACAAAAAAGTGGATCCACTGAGCTTTACCATATCATATTCGCACCAAGATCACAAAGATCACAAAGATCACCAATATCCATAGTAGGCAACCAGCTATTGTTTTCTTCGGTTTTATTAGGGCAAACACTTGGATTCCCCAGAATTAGTTCCCCTTTTTAATTGGTTGTTTTTTGGGGGTTCCTTTGTTTTCCACCCACCCGGAAAAATTCAATAAATGCTGGGGTCCTAATTCCAGGCAAGTTGGGTTATTTCCTAAACTGCCGCCGCAACTGGCGCCGCTTCGCGTTAAGGACTTCAGCATGCCCACGGACCTGGTGACGCAGCTCTGCCACTGGGAGAGCGCCAATGACCTGGTGAAGGATCGCTCGATGGGTTTGAATCCGTGGATGTGCCTAGACTCTCCATGACCCTTTAAAAATGGGGTCATTTACCCTCAAGAGAGGGTTGTTTTCGTTTTTCAACGCTCCTATTTAGGAGCCCCAAGAGGACCTTTTTTTGGAGGGTCTTGAACCCCCTTTCCGGACTCTAAAACTGAAATAGTTCCAAGTGGCTCCTAGGGATGTGTGATGTGCCTAGACTCTCCTTGTGACCCTTCGAAAATGGTTGGTCAGACTACCTACCCAAATGAAAGATTCGGGTCATGACCTACCATTTTTCAAGGGTCATAGAGAGTCTAGGTGGATTTGTTTTCTTGCGATCGGTGCGATAGGTAGGGAATGAGAAAAATGGAACGCCACCCCCAAAACCACACCAAACCACCCAATCCAAAGCACCAATCAGGCAAGCTCACACCTATAGTCGCTTGCCTGGAAGAACTGGGTGTGGCTTGCAACTGGGGGTAGGAGGTTCGTTCAAAGTGTCAATTTGAATTGGGAGATGAGACCAGAAGGCATTGCCAGACACAGATTTTGAACTGGAAAATCCCGGAGGGTTTGAAAACCCTCCGGGTGAATCTCTTTTAGGCTTCGCACCCCCCAAAAGGGCTTCCGTTTCCCCTGTACCGCAGAAAAGGGGGAAGCTCCTCCAACAAAAGACGACCTTTTATATTGCATGGTCTTGGGTAACCACCACCCTCTAAATCCCTGCCAAAACAAGTTAGGAAACCCCCATCGATCCATTTAACCAAAACTTACGGTTTTTAAAGGCTTCCCTTAGCTGCCTACAAAGGGAAACGGAATCACAGGTATGTGAACATCAGGTTAAGAAATCATTGGATGCATAATGAGCTCATTCTGAACAGCAAGCGCGTTTTTTTTTTTTTTTTAACGTTGCAAAGAGCCTCCTTCTCGGAGAGAGAGGCATTTTGGTTGGACCAGTTTTTTTCTGTTCTTTTTTGTGACGTCAGACCACGCGCTCGCTCGCCCGCTCGCGCGCATCTCCGCTCGCGCGTGTGAGCGCGTGTGAGCCTCGGTGAGGGCCCTGTGAAGTTTGGGAGCTGCGAGTTCGAGCGCTCCGGGGCTTGGCACCTCGACTGCTCATGGCGCGGGGGTCTCTCGAGCGCTGGTTTCCTTCCATTTGCTTAAGATATTTTTTTGTCCCCCCTGTTGGTTTTCAAGGGAACGAGCCACTACTGAACATATTTTTATGGAAGTGGCTGGTGCTCAGTGATGTTCACCCCAGGTCTTTTCACCAACCGTTTTAGTTTGATGGGGTGTGTGGTTTTTGGCCCCTCCCAAAGTGGTCTGACACCCCACTAAACCCAGGTTTTCTGAGGTCTGGCTCTGAAGAACAGCCACAAACGCCTTTTTAATGAGAAAACTGGCCATGGCAAAACCCCTAGCTTTTGGGTGACCCCCATTTACTTGGTAGAACTTGGTAGACCCCAGTTTGTAACTTGAATGCTCGCTTGGCGGTGCGAATCCCAGCAAATCGTCCGGCTTTTGAGGTTTTCAGGCTTTTGGGTTGAGTGGGGGTTTCCGTCCTCCTTAGGTTTTTAGGCTTTTGGTTGGTTTGGTGGTTGGGCTTCCATTTGCCCACGAAAAGTTAAACTTTGAGCAGGTGATCAGAAAACGGATAGCTTAGGAAGTGGGGAGCTTGGGGTCTCTGCCAGAACTATGCCATATGTTTGAGGGGAGACCTCCGTTTGCTGAAGAATATTTGTTTTTTTCCCCTGGTTGGTTTTAAAAGGAAATTATCACTACTGGAAATATGTTCATTCTTTTTCCAGGGTCTTATCCAAATGGAAGTAAAGCGAAAAGGGACGCCGTCTCACGTGAGGGGATTGTCCGCAAACAAAATCATCTCCGCGAAGCGATGGGCGCTGGGCGGTTTATCTCTAGGTCCCCCAGCGAACGGTGCCCGTTGTAAGCCCCTTTTTTGGTTGAAAAGGTTCCCCCCTATAATAGACTGGAGGACCTCGATCTTCAATGCCTGTGTGTCTTTTTATAGGTGAGGTGCCCGTTTAAGCCCCTTTTTTTGGTTGCCCAGAGGCTGGCTCCAATTCGATGTAGCAAATTTTTATGGGGCCCTCTACCAGCCGTTGGTTTTGAGACCGGGTCCCAGCCCCCCGATTCCCGGGGTGTCGTCTCAAGGGTCGGGCTCGGGTCTTCCATTGAAAGCCGAAGCCGAAAGCCGATCGGAGCCTCTGGGTGGGACATTTGGTTCCCCTGCCTATCGAACAGGGCTCCTTAAAAGATCTCCATTTTGCCACCATTTGAGTTACATGTTGCTTTTTCAACACCGAAATAAAGTTGGAAACCACCATGTACAAGTTGCAATGTTCGGGTGTTTCTATTGTAAGGATCCCTAAAATAGACCACAGAGAACAAATCGGGCACCCCTATTTTAGCACTGGAGGACCTCGATCTTCAATGCGGGTGTGTCTTTAATAAGGAGGTGCGGTCAGAAAGGAACCAAACAACAGGACAACCCAGTAATTTTGGGGGCCCCTTAAACAGAAAGCCAAAAAAACACACCCAGAATCCAGTTGGCTTTCATCCATCCCTGGTGCCCATTCTCAGTGGTTGTGTCAATTGACACGGGAACCCTCAGATTTGGCCTGGTTTCCGCTAAGGCTATTTAAACCCCAGACCTGGGACATTTTTTCGGGATGATCTGTATTTGTTTTCAGGTTCGGTTGGGCTTTTCCAACAGAACAGGGGGGAGTGGCTAGGATGGGCCAGCCCCCTTCAGCCTGCACCTCAGCTTGAGTTCCGTTCCTGGACTCTAGGCAATCTTTAGGAATTCCGTTTTAGTGGTGAACAAACAGTTTGGGCTTTGTTTGGCCAATCCACTCAGACTCAGGAGGTGAGTTAAACCACAATTGCCTAAAGAACCTTCTTTTGTTTGGCTTGAACGGGGAATACTTATATATATATATATAGATGGTGTTGGACGAATCGTACGGTGGGTATCCATGATTTGTTCCCGCTTTCCGTAGTTTTGAGTCCAACGAGTGGGTTACCTGAATTACTAGCTCATCTCTTCCCTGCTCCCTTGCTGCTAGCTATTAGAAGCTAGCTCCCAGACCATCACTTCCATCCTCCTTTGCTTCTCGTGCAACGGAGCATCCAGGATGACCCGGAATTAGTGAATCGGTTGTATTAATATTGGGGTGGGGGGCCCCTCCAACAGTATTGCCCGATCAAAATCAACCAGGGGTTCTACTTAGATCCGGAGTTCCCATTAAAGATGACCGTCCCATCCAAGCGGGTGTCTTGTTTTTAAGGGGACCCTCCTCCCCCTCCCCCCCCGAACAAGAAAAAGGTGTTCCTTGTAGCTTTTCTTTAAAAACCACCACGCAAGTCTCCCCCCCAAACAAAAAGAGAACAGAAAGCGAGACTTACCCAATGTCTTTTTTTCAAATGGACCATCCTTCCCAAAAAACAGGAGATGTTCCTGTTGGTTTCCTGAAAAACCACAAAACAAGTACCCCCCCCCCCAAAAAAAAAAAAAAAATGGAAAGAAGAAAGAAAGAAAAACAATCATACCCGAGTAAAGATGACAGCCCTTTGCGTTGCCCAGGTTTTACTACCCCAAGCAGCGGCAACCTGAAGTCGGCGACGCCCCTCGCATGGCAACGCATGCAACACGAGCGAGCGAGCGCGAGTCGGATTCGCACAAGGGGAGCAATTCGATGGATGCCCCGTTCGCCATTCGGATGGTTGCGAAATCCAGAAATCGCGCCACCTAAGAATCCCTGGAATGATTCGACTGCCCAACGTAAATGCCAACAAACCATGGTTTCAACCATGGCTTCAAAGTGGTGCGAAATTGATTTCGTCCATCCATAGCATTGCAAGCAAGCCAAGCACTCTGCGCCACAGATCCATGGGACATCTAAGGCAAATTCGGAGGTTTGAAATTATTTACTCGCAACAGTTATTTGGCCCTATGGAGCTCAGGCAATTCGTTCTTATAGTAGGTATCCCGTCATTTTCATTTTGGGTTTGATATCGGGCGGCAAGCCCTTGGTTGCCTACAAAACCAGGTTGACATGGATCCAATATTTGGAGGCATCCACGGCATGGGAAGGTCATACTCAGTCTTTCCAGGAGTTATAAGGAGGGCAAAGCCTACCTTGGCGGTTCACAGGGAATCGCCGTCCGGTTCGCCTGAGGTGTTGTCAGGCTTTTAGTTGGTATCGCAGTTGGGTTTCCGTCCCTATAGTGTGTTTTTAGGCTTTTGGTTGGTCTAGTGGCAGTTTCCGAGTTTCACCCACTAAAGTTGTACTTTTTGTGGGGCCCAGTAACCTCTTAGACATGCGTCCCGGAAGATCTAAGGGAACATCTCGATGGTGCTGTTATTTTTTGCTCTTCGTGGGCAACTTGGTTGCCAGCTTTCCTTGGCCTACTCAGCTTCCAATTTCCCATTTAGCCCCTTCTGTGGATGGACGCAATCCTGCACCACTTGGAATCCGTGGGAAACCGTTGTTTGTTGGCAGTTGCAGGGGAATCGAATCCTTTCGGGGTTTGCTAGGTGGTGCGATTTCTGGATTTCGTCCATCAACAGTATTATAGAACTAGGGATTCAAGCCCCCAAACCAATCCAACCAATTGGGTAACCTGAAGTACGGATCTTCTTTTGCCCACTTGAAGGACTTCTGCATGCCTACACTGCCCAGCAGTGTGGCTTAGGCAAAGGAAGCGCCTTTGTTTTCGAGGGTACCCTACTGTTGATGGACGAAAATACCCTGGACCCTCATTCGTTACATAAATTTGTCCCTTGGGTGTTTCGTAGCATAAATTTGCTAGTCGAGCATTTTTCTTTCGTGACACAATTTTATGTAATAATGGAAGGTCCAGGACTGCATCACCCAAGAATCCACGGAGTGATGATTCGCCTGCAATTACCAACCCACGTTCTGGTTTCAATAAAGGTATCAAAGTGGTGCGAGAAGCAAATTTCGCAACCATCCACAGTATTGAATGTTGGTTTCAAGGGAGCCAGATTCGGAAACTTACAAATTCCTCCATGAGACACACCCAATGACCAGGGTCGAGTTTCGACTTCCGGAGACACCAACTCAGGCCTTTCAGCCGCCCCCCAAACTCGGAGAAAACACCAGTGGCATCCAATTTCTGAAGAGGATCTGAGTGAAGGGAATCTAGGTACCCCAGTAGTGCCCTTATACCCTTTTTGGGGGGAGGATTCCCCTACTAGAATAGGCTACAGACAAAAGGGTACTCTTATTCTAACCTCGCTACCTAGACTCTCCATGACCCTTCAAAAATGGGGTTGGGTAATGACCCCATTTTTAAAGGGTCATGGAGAGTCTAGGTACTGGAGGACCTAGGAATTGACAGATATGGCGAAAAAGAAGGTGCATCACTTGCTTTTCTTCGCCTTTCTTGGCCCTTGGCCCGAAAGCATCGCACCTTCTGACCCTTGCAATTAAAGGGTCTTGGGGTGGCAGGGTCCCTGATCTTTGCATCTGCGGAAAGCATGAGGAGAGGTTGAATTCATCACCGTGGTGCCGGTCAGACACTTTTTTTGAAGCTCCTCATTGGATCCAATGATTTTGGGGTTGCTTAGTCCCTTACTTCGCCTTCTTTGGCCCCCTCAGGCCTTACGCTGCCTTCCTTCCGCTGATAAATCTGGGCGGTTCCCAGCGAATCGTCCGGTTCCCCCTCAGGTTTTGTGTTTTTTGGTTGGTTGAGTGGTACATTCCCATTTGACGCACTAAAAGTTAGACTTTCAGCAGGGGCTCTGAGGACTGCCCTGAAATATAGTTTGCCTAGACTCTCCATGACCCTTCATAAATGGGGTCATGACCCCTTTCTTTTGGGTAATGACCCTATTTTTAAAGGGTCATGGAGAGTCTAGGTACTGGTCCCTGACCCTTTCAAGGGGGCCAGAGACGGCTTGGGCAAAACTCACTTTGTGCAGCTCATTTTTTTGACGTCAGGTCCGTGTCGCCTTCGAGCACGTGCCCAACGGTGAGGTCACCATTATGGCACCATGACGTCAGAGTTGGATTTACGTTTCTTCTAGGTCCCCCAGCGAACGGTGCCCTTCTCTCCCCTTTTTTGGGGAGATTCGGTTCCCCTACTAAACTTCACTGTTCTTGGCATGTGTTTTGGTTCTTTAGTTTTTTGGTTCTGTTCATTTTTACTGGGGGTCTGCAAAAAACAAAGTTGTTTGCTACCATACCAAGAGTAGAGCTGTAAAATAGACTACAGAAAAACAGTTGGTACCCTTATTCTATCCTCTGAAACTGGAGGGCCTAGTCTTGTGTTGCCATTTGGGTGGTCAAAAATAGCTACCCATGGACTCAGCCTCCGGTCCTCTGGTGGTTTAATTTTGAGCCATACCCATTGGGGTGTGCGTTTTTTTGAGGTTCCCGTTGGTTGGTTGGTTGGTTGGTTGGTTGGTTGGGTGGGTGGGTGGGTTCCAAAAGGACATCGCCTTCCAAAACCCTGGCTTCCATGATTGTTGGAGGAATGGTACCAGTTCTTTGATTCAAAGGGACCACAAAGATCCGTAGTTGTTCAGGGTTCTCCTACTGTGGATGGACGAAATCATGCACCACCTAAGAAACTCCTGGAATGATGGGTTCCACTGCACATACCAACAAGCAATGGTTTCCCATGTCTGCTTTGGTGGTGCGAACGGATTTCGTCCACAGTATCACAAAGTAGGCGATGGAGTAGCACAGTGCTAGTCGGACAGTATAAGAAAGACCTGATCGGGCCATCAAAGTTGGGGCGACTCAAATTTTTCCAGCAACAAGTCCGGTGAATCACAAAGTCAACAGAAGGTGTCCACTGGTTTCGCCTTAACACCTTTACCTCCACTCCTGGCAAAGCCAGGCATTGCAGTGTGAGGATAAGGCACGCATTGCTCCTTGGCTTCGGAACTTGCGACTCAGGGTGGGGTCTGCTCCCAGACAGAGGATATACTCACTCCCGGAGTGCAAGGACTTCAACAGGTTCTTTTTTGGAAAGACCATTTTAGTGGTAAACAAACAGTTGTGTACTTTTTCTGGCCAATCCGCTCAGGAAGTCATATATGCTTGTAAAGGTTGACTGAATATGAACAACTGAAGATCGTGAAATGGTGCGGTCCTTCAAGACACACTATGAAACACACCATGAAACACAATCTGAACATATACCTTTTTGTGTACCTCAGATGATATGGGCAAAATTGCTTTGGGTTCCGGAGGGTTCCAGAGGTCCGGAGCTGTTATGGATACCGCCTGGGCGTGTTTGTTGAGCTTCGAGGATTCCAAAGGAAGCCAATCATTTTTGGACTAGGCAACCGCCTCACAAGTGGTATGATGTCGATGTGCACCAAAGGGTGCCCCATCAGGCACACCCATAATATGTGTCTCAGACTGGTGTTAGACAGGATCACAGGTTGGCAACTCCGCCAATCGCCTTCGGGTAGAACATGCTTTGCCTTTGGGTTCCAGTGATGTTTCTCTTCATCCCCTTATTTTGATGTGCGTTTCGTTGGTTTGTAGAACCCCCGGTCCTTTTGTCCGGGTTTCAGCTTTCCCTTGGTTTCTGCAACACGGGCATTTAGAGGCTCATCAGTTGATGCCATGCATGTAGATTGTCCAGACTGCAGACATGTCCCTTCCGCAGCTGAAGGGCCCTTTTGCTTGTAGCCGAGCCAGACATTTGGCCACGACCCCCTAGTCAGCTGCACAGGCGGCTTGAGAAGAAACAAGGCTTGGCGCCATTCGCTCCCCGCGCTACTCCCGCTGCATTGGTAGCGGAGCAGGAGGCAACGATTCAGTGCTTCCTGCAGAGCCCGATCAAGTGCACCAAGAACGTTCAGGAACGTGTGCACAGCTACTTGATCGCCTTGAGCCTAAATCTCTAAGAGACTCTGATCTTTGACTGCGTCGAGCCCTTTGGAACGACCCAGGAAAAGATCATCGCTCAGGACTTCAAGATTGGCACGTTCCCGGACGGCGAAGTAGTCATGGACAATGAATTCAGGTCTGACCATCTTCCATCCTTGGATGGTCAGGCGCGATCATGGCGCAGGTACTACAAGGAAGTGGCCTGGTGCGCACAGTCAACACCAGCCCACAAGCGCAGGTACCTGGCGGCAAAGCTCATAGGCCGACTTCGGGGCCCCGCAAGGCTCCTAGCCATGTCATGGTCAAGGGCCGACTTTGATCATGCCGATGGAGTACTTCAACTGCTTCAACGACTGGCGGCCTCACCCCTCGTCAGGAAGTCGTTACCGAATGCCGCAGCGATCATGCAGCAGTACTTCTCCTTCAAGAGGAACCCCGGCGAGGGCATCGGCAACTTCCTGGTGAGGGAGACTCTCGGCTATGAGGAGTTTGTGGAGGCTCTCCTTCGCCTTCACGAGGAGTCTTCCGGTGTTGACCAAAGCCGCAAGGACTTTGGCCTCCCCAAGAACATGGATTCTGGTTGGGATGAATGGGGCGAGTCCTGGTCAGATTGGGACTATCAGCCCGTCACCGAAGAGAACCCCCCTTCCGAAGGAGAACAAGCTCCCGACGCACCTGGAGACGTGTCCGGTATCTCAGGAACTGCCGCACCTGGATCTGCTCCCAGCCAGGAGCCTAGCCCTGATGCACAAGTGGGTTCCCCTCCAGCACAGCGTGTGACAGATACCACTGGCACACCGGGAACCATCACAGAGCTCTCCATGGCGGACAGCTTCATCATGGGTGTTCTTCGTGGCTGGCGTCTTCTTCAGGCAGCTTCCCTCAGTCCGGAGGACAAGCGTGACATCCTAAGCACAACCCGTAACTCCCTGGAGTACGAGGCCATCAGCCAAGCTCTTCAGATGCTTTGGGATGAACAACTTCTTGGAAATCGTCAACGGCCTCCTCAGCACCTGAACTACCACGAGGCCGACCTCAATTACCAGGACGCGTGGGATCAAGATTGGGAACCCTGGGACCCTTCTGATGAGAGTTGGTTTGATAATGCCTGGGCCCAGTCTGGTTGGGAAGAAGATCCTGAATCATGGTCTTCTCCCGCAGTTCCAGAACTTCCTGATGAAGCCCTTTCAGCCGAGGAGCAAGATAAACTCCGGGATGCCATGCAAGCCGAACGCGCAGCCGAACAAATGGCCATGGATGCCCAACGCACCTGGACCGAAGCTCAACGTGCAACTCAACTGGTTCGCAAGGACCGCGGGTTCGGCGCATCGTTCAACAACTCTGGCAAAGGCAAGAGTTCCGGCGGCAAGGGCAGCGGCTGCTTTCTTTGTGGTGGCCGTCACTATGCTCGAGATTGCCCAGATCGCCGACATCCTTCCAAGGGTAAGGGCAAACATGCCTTCATGCTTGCGGATCCCTACAACGAGCACTTCTTCACCGGCAAGTCTGGCAAGAAAGGCAAGGGCTGGAAGGGGCGCTCCAAGTCAGCCGCATGGGCCGAACATGACCTCTCCTGGATCTCCAAGGGCAAGGGCAAGAGTGATCAACGCCCAACTGTCAACGCCTACGTCCAGGACATGTACGGCATCAATGGCTTGGAAATGCACGAAGGACCCCACAATCCCTTGGAGCTCTCATCAGTTAGCCCTGGAAAGGTAGCTCCACATCAAGGCATGTTGGATTGTGGCGCCACCGCAAGTGCTGGCCCTGAAGCCTCAGTACAGCGTCTCATTGAGGCAGTTTTGCGGCAGGACAAGTCCGCCACGGTGACTGTGGACCCCAATCAGCGTCCATACTTTCGCTACGGGAGTGGTCGGTGGGGTCGAGCACAGTACCGGGTGACCCTCCAATCAGATCTATCTGGCCACCCCCGAGTCTTTCATGTGTATGCTCTTCCGAACCCCCCCGAGTTCTTCGAGCAATGGTTCACCACCGACATGCTTGTCCCGATTCTGGTTGGCATGAGCCATGCAGGTTCTGATGGTGTTGGTATGGTAGTCGATTTGGCCACTGGTTTTGCCATAGATGCCCTTTTACCTGATCCGCGTCCCTACCAGCTGGATAAGAACCACAAGGGTCACTTCATGGTTGATCTGGTTCACTTTCTTACTGGCGGCAACCAAAACACCAGCGCGGATGATCATCCAGTGGTGAAGGTCACATCCCGGACCCCGACATCATCTACCGGCAAACCCTGGGATATGCACACCCTTTTCCCTTGCGAGATGTACGACATGAATGTCAAGGTTGGCACTTGTTCTCAGTTGGACCCCCTTGTGAACACCACTACACCTCATGGTCCATCCCGAGTTTGCGAGCTTTATGCATGGAAGCTCATGAGAGAACATCGAACCGTGCCGGCCTGGCTGATATCAGCGCTGGACTCATCTGAGTCCATGGGTAGTGTGCTCTCTCCCAATGCGACTCCGGCACCTCCGAGCCATGTCCAAAAAGCTGACCAACCCTTTGGACACCACTCCGACCACGGCGGAGCTGCCCGAGTACCTCACCGCGAAGAAGAAGACCTCCAAGGCCCCCATGCCCTTCGATCCGGAAAGGAGCATGGAAATGGACCCTCGGGACATCCGCGCCAAGAACACCTGGCCATGCTTCGACCGCCACCAACCGGGGAACTGGGCGAGCAACCCCCACGGGCGCTGGATCCATTGTCAGGTATGCGATCTCAGGCTTCAGTACGTCCCGAGACAAGGATCCCCGAGCATGTCTACAATGGTGCTCAACCACGTGATGGTCAACCGGGCCATGGTGGAACTACAACAGCTTCTACCTGGCCGCATGCCCACTGCCCAGATCTGCAAGGCCATGTTGGACAAGTTGGTGGCCGAGGAGAAGCTCCTGGTGATGATCCACAAGGTCAAGGATCAGCCAGTCTCCTCCACGAACAAGACAAGTCCAGCTCCTCCCAAGCGCACCAACCACAAGGGGACATCAAAGACTGCCGCAGGGTACACTTCTCCGTGCCCGTCCATGGCGAGCAGTCAAAGTTGGGAGAAACCTCAGATGGACACGATGGACATCTTTCGGTACCTCTCCACGGAGGAGCAGACCAAGCTCATGGAAGTGGTCACCGAACGTCAGCAAGCAGTCGCGGACCAATTCTCCGAGGAGGAGGAGGAACTTCAAGAAGTAGCATGATCCACCCCCTGCCGGTCAGCGTCGGTGCGAAGGTCATGCAAATGGTGATCGGCGTGCAAGCCCTCATGACCACCGAGCTCCTCAACCTCAACTATGGCGACCGTGATGTGTTGTGGGAATTCGCATGTGCCCCACAAAGCTGGCTCTCTCAAGCGGTGCAGGACCACGGCATGGATGCCCAACGCATCAACCTCTATAACGGCTTCGACCTCTACAAGGAGGAAACCTGGGTCCGTCTTCGGCAACTTCGTCGTGCACGTAAACCTCGAAAACTGTGGTTTTCACTTCCCTGTACGAAGTGGTGCCGATGGACCAGTCTTAACTACTCCACACCCGAGGGCAAGGAGAAGCTCGAGAAGGACCGCCGTCGCGAACGGAAAATGCTCCGGTTTGCGAGGGACTTCATCCTGGAGTCCGTCGATGAGATTCGCGACATCGACATCTACTGGGAGTGGCCCCATCCTTGCTACGGGTGGGAACAACGACCTCTTCAAGATCTTTCAGCGGAACTTGGAGGTCGAGATATCGAGTGGCTCCACTGTAGAATCGATGGTTGCGCCTACGGCATGAAGGACCACCTCGAGGAAAACTTCCTGGCAAAGAAATGGTCAATTCGCACCACCGATTGCGACTTCCACCGCCACTTTCACGCCAAGGTATGCCCCAAGAACCACCAGCACACCTACATCCAAGGAATCGAAACCTCAAGGTCAGCCTACTATCCCTGGCGGATGGTTTTGGCAATAGCCAGATGCTGGCGCGATCAGCTCCTACCACCTCGCTTCCATCGCTGGGCTCACTCCAAGAATGAGAACCATGGTGCTCACTTGGCACTGGAACTTGCAGCTCAAGAAGATGGTGATCCTCATGCTCTACCAGCACACCCACCATCCGATCCTGGCCAAGCTCCAGCAAGACCCGAACCTCATGCACCTCCACCTGATGAGCCACAACCAGATCCTCCAGCAAATCCACACCCTCCACCGGATGCACCCAGTCCTGAAGAAGTGCAACGGTGGGAAGCCAAGCTAGCGCACTTCCACAAGGCTGCTGGACACCCTACAAACTCCAACCTGGTTCGTCTCCTTCAAGAAGCCGGACATCCACGATGGCGCATCGACAAGGCCAAGGAGTTCAAATGCAGTGCATGTGAGGCACTTCGGCCTGGCGGACTCAGTAGTGGACAAGTCCCTCCAGCGGCAACCTATCCTCTATACCAAGCTTGGCAGGCAGTCGGTCTGGATGTCAGCGGAGTACCTCGCAAGGTCAAGTTTGCCCTGTTCATCGACCTGGCCACCAAGCTGCGAGTAGTCTGCCCGCTCATGCAGTACAACTTCCTCGAGATGAAAGCGGAGAATGCCGAGATGCTCATCAAGGCCTTCTCCGAACGTTGGCTCTCCGACAAACCTCGTCCTGAGGTGCTGATCCCTGATTGCGGCAAAACCATGACGGCCAAGTCCATGCACGACTTCTGCAACTCTGTCGGTGTTCAACTAGCCTTTCCCCCAGAGAAGGAAAGCTGGGCACATGGCATTGTTGAAGCCGCAATCCAAGATGTCAAGATGACGGCCACAGCCATCCAGACGTCCAGTCCAGAGCAGAACCCGGAGATCACGCTCTACTTGGCTGCGGCAGCTCTCAACTCCACCGAGTATACACGCGGTTTCAGCTCCTTCCAGTGGTGCTACGGCAAGGCCTACAACATCACGGAGGAGGACATACGCACCTTCGAACAGCTTCCTCAAGATCAACGGCACCGTGAATTCGAGCAGCTCGTGCAAGCTCGTCAAAAGGCGGAGGATATTGCCCGGTCCACACGTGCAAAGCGCGTTCTCTCCAAGCTGGTCAACACAACAGTGCGACAACCTCTACGCACCTTCCAACCCATGGACCTGGTCAAGGTTTGGAGAAGAGTCTGGCCTGCTGAACTTCATCGAGCAAGCCCCATTGGATCGGCCCTGGGCGTGTGATCTTCCATGAGGTCCTACCTCATCAGCAAGCAGATGATGACCGTCGTCATGTGGTCTGGGTCCTCATTGGCACTCAGCTGATGCGATGCTCCCCACATAGTGTGCGATTGGTCACCGACAAGGAGCGCCTGGTCTTCGAGATTGGTGGTGCAGAGGATCCCTCTCGATGGCGATCCCTCGCTGATGTACTACCAAAACGTGAGTTCGTGGACATGATCGACCAAGCTCCCAAATCGGATGAGCTTGAACTTCCTGACTTACCACCCGAACCCGACAAATCCACGATCATCAAGCCCACTCATCGCATGAAGACCAAGGGTGCCTTGAACATCCGACCTGTACCGATGCCCAAGGCCAAGGTCGCTCGCACTGGAGAACCTGAGCCTTCATCAAGTGCACCGAGCTCTACATCCACAGCAATGCCCACACATTCGGCGCCACCCGCCGGAGAGGTCAATGAATATGAAGAAGATCCTGATCTTCGTCGGGAACTCAAGAAGGCCCGCATCACTCCAGATGATGCTCTATGGCTTCAATCCTTGCAGGAGGAGACCATCGACCTTCACACAGCTCTCATGGACACCGAGCAAGTGATGGTGATGGAGTTCAACCTGGAGTTTACCAGTAACCGCGAGAAGAAGAACTTCATTCGCGATCCTCACCTGTTCCTCGTCAAGCAGATGCGGAGCAGCGAAGTCAACCTCAAGAAGCTCACACCACAACTCCGCGAGTTGTTCCACCGTGCCAAGGCCAAGGAAGTCAGCAGCTTCCTCAAGAATGAAGCAGTTCGCAAGTGCCTGGATAACAAGGAGATCCAGGAGGCCTACAACTCTGGGCGCATCATGCGTGCTCGCTGGGTCCTCACGTGGAAACTGGTTCCAGATGAGGAACATCCAGAAGCCCTCCGAGATGCCATGTCCAACGCGCAGACCATGGTCACACCTGATGGTCGCAAGAAAGCAAAGGCCCGCATCGTGGTGCTCGGATTTGAACACCCCGATCTTCTGGACCCTTCCTTCCGCACCTCGAGTCCGGTTCAAACCAACCTCGGGAGGAACCTCCTGTACCTCATGACTTGCCAGCATGGTTGGGAACTTGAAGGTCTTGACCTTGCCACGGCATTCTTGCAGACCCAGAAGACCGAGGAGGATAAGAAACTCTGGACCTACGGAACTGAAGAGCTTCGAGAAGCCCTAGGCGTCGGTTCCGAAGGCATCATTCGCATCCTGAAGAACGTGTACGGCTCCACCACTGCACCCCGTGGACTTTGGCAGGACCTCCATGCAACCTTCAAACGTCTTGGTGGCATCTCCCTGACTTCGGAGAGATGCATGTGGGTATGGCTTTCGCAACATCAGAAAGACCAACAAGGCCGACCTCTCGTCATTGGTGCCATGGGTGGTCATGTAGATGATTTCCACCGGACCGGAGACAAGGCCAACCCTGAATGGAATGAGGTCTGTCAGCAGGTTGACCGTGCCTACGTTTGGGGTACCATCAAGCGTGGAGAATATCGCCACGCTGGCACCGACCTCGTCATTGGCAAGGATGAAAACGGTGACACCACGATCACCGTCGACCAACAGTACTACATCGAGTCCCTCCAGGACGTGAACATCCCTCCCGAACGCCTTCGTCAAGTTGACGCCGTTCTGGATTCCACCGAAGTTGGACACTGCCGAGCTACCCTGGGAGCCCTGCAGTGGGTTGCGGTACAAACTCAACCACAGCTCAGTGCGAGATGCAATCTCCTGCTCACCGAGGTGACCGTGACTCCTTCGACCTCCGTTGCAAGAGAAATTCAACAAATGGTGTGTGAGGTCCGCAGGAATCCCGTCAAGCTGGAATTCTTCAAGCTGCCTGGAGTCCAATCTTGGACCGACGTCGTGTTCATCACCATGGGCGACCAAGCTCACGCCAACCGACCTCAAGGAGATAGCACTGGCGGCATGATCACCGTTGCTTCCGGCCCACGAGCAATCACTGGCGCACCCACCAAGATGTGTCTTTTGACCTGGCGATGCTGGAAACTCAAACGCAAGGCCATCAGCTCGAATGACGCTGAGGTACAAGCCATGGTCGAATCCGAGGACAACAACTTTCGGATGCGACTTCTTTGGTGCGAACTTCATGGCCAGTCCATCCACCAGCACCGCGACAACGACAAGGTCTCTGCCGGCGAAGAGGTGGTCAAGCTTGTCAAGGGCGTGGTCACTACAGACTCCCGAGGCGGATACGATGCTGTGACTCGCCATGAGTCTCCGATGCTTGGGCTCTCCAACATGAGAGCAGCGCTTCAAGCCTTTCAAGTGAGAGAAAGTTTGGAACGCACCCACACCGAGCTTCGCTGGACTGCCTCGGACTATGACTTGGGCGATGCCTTGACCAAGAAGGCACCATCATGCAGAGCCGGGTTACTGCAGTTTCTGAAGACCTCTGTGTGGTCTATAGCCTTCGACCCCAGCTTCCAGAGCGCTCGCAAGAATGCCAAGGCGGGCAAGTCAGCGCTGCAGACCCTGCAGAATCCCTCGTCTACCTCAACGGCCCGATCCCGAAGTAAGCCAATCACGTCATCAACTGAGAATGATTTTGTGCCCATGCAACACGGGCATTTAGAGGCTCATCAGTTGATGCCATGCATGTAGATTGTCCAGACTGCAGACATGTCCCTTCCGCAGCTGAAGGGCCCTTTTGCTTGTAGCCGAGCCAGACATTTGGCCACGACCCCCTAGTCAGCTGCACAGGCGGCTTGAGAAGAAACAAGGCTTGGCGCCATTCGCTCCCCGCGCTACTCCCGCTGCAGTTTCCCAATCGCTTTTTCGTGGGTTCCTTTTGCTGTTTTTTGGTTTCCCAGTCGTTTCTTCGTGGTTCCCCCGCGGTTTCCTTTTGTTTCCCACTTGCTTTTTCCGCGGTGTCCTGTCGTTTTCTGTGGTTTGCCCCATGATTTCGTTGCGTTTCCCAGGTATTTTTTCCGGGTTTCCTGTAGTTTTCCCGTGGCTTCCTGTCGTTTTCCGCGGTTTGCCCCGTGGTTTCCTTCGGTTCTGCGGCCCGCGCGTCAAAAAGCTAAACAAAAATTAGCTCAGGTGATATCCCCAACAGCATGCGGTGCTCGTTTTAGTGCTCGCACCACCCGCAGCCCTCGTGGAACCCTCGTGGAATCTTACCTCAGGGCCGCCCCGGACAAACCGGAGCCTAACTGGGCTGAGACCCCAAAGCTTTCAGCTGTTGGGAAAAAAACAGATCTGAGGCCAGCTTCGTGCCGTACCGCCTGGTGAGCCGGGGCTTCTGCGGCATCTCCACGGGGAAACTCCAGGCGGTGGGGGGGGGTGTTCGCTTTTTTGTTTGTTTGTATTAGTTGTGTTATTTTTGTTATTATTATTATTATTATTTTTGTTATTATTATTATTATTATTATAATTATTACTATTACTATTGTTATTGTTATTATTATTATGATTGGTATTATCAGTATTGTTATGGTGTTTCCCCGTGTCTTCGTCTTTTTTTTTCCCGGAAGAGAAAGCGCCGAACAGGGCACCTGAACCCTCAACATTCCAACTTAAAATGGGTTTTGGTTCCAGTCACATTGTGGGGTGAAATCCCATATTTACCTCAAGCCTCAAACAGGGTAAATTAGCTCAAAAAGGGTAGCTCAAAAAAGCATTATAAGAAATAGCTCAAAAACTCGGGTAGGCGCAAAAATAAATCAATCCTGAATCTAGGAGGTTGTGCGGGGTTCTCTCAAAATGGTGGGAAAGCCCCCCTGTTGGTTGGTACTAGCCTTGGGCCACCGGGCTCCAAACCACCAATTGACGGTAAGCTGAAAGCAGTTTTATGGGGTACCTTAAGACGTTTCTCAAGATGGTGGGAAAGCCCCCTGCTAATTGGTTGCTCAACGGACCTGAAAAGGAGCCCCTTGGAGTTTTTCGGAACAGGGACACTGCGTATCCCCTCCAACAGTCGAGCAATTGACTTGTCTAGGTCCCCCAGTAGTGCCCTTGTTAACCCATTTTTTCTTTTTTGGTTGAAAGGGCTCCCCTACTAAAATAGATGACAGAAAAAAATGGTACCCTAAACCCTAACCGCTCTACTGGAGGACCTAGTTGTGCGTTTCATGGCAAAGAGCGCATTTTTTGGAGGTTTTCACAATGGGAAATTGAGGGATCCCTGATGAAGCTTCTGCAGAATCTTTGGTGCATTTTGTTTGGATGTTACCACCCAGCGAATACCAGCCTGTCAAAGTTACTCGTGGGCCCTTGGTTCAGATCGGGGTGATTCCAACGAAGTTTCCCTGAGAATCCGCAGCGGAGCTGGGTTTCCTTGAGAACCTTTTTTCCCGTCGGTGGAGGTCTGAAGGAATGCTTTGGTTGTTTTTTGTTCCGGATCACCAGATCGGGACTCGACCCCCAAACACTTCGACCCGCCTCGGAGTTGTTTTTTGCAAACTTTAAGCTTTTTGCTTGGTTGCTTTCATTGTTGGGGTCCAAAACAAATGAGCCGACTAAATCAACTCAGCCCGGCTAAGAACCTGATGGGTGTTTCTCAAAAGGGTCTAAAGGGTCGATGGGTTCTCCATTCAAAGGGTCATGGATCTCTGGCGCCCAGACTTGAGCTGCCAACGGCCAGACGAACTTTGTGCGTCTAAAGTGGGTCCATTGAATTCGAGATCAAATGATTCCTCATGGTGGCCTGAGGGTAAGAGGGAAGCACCTTACGTATTTTTGAGAGGTTAGGTGGGTGGGTGGGTGGTGAGGTGGGTGGGTGGGTGGGTAGTTAGGTGGGTGGGTGGGTGGTTAGGTGGGTGGGTTGGGTGGGTGGGTGGGTTGGGTTGGTTGGTTGGTTGGCCCTCAACGTGTTCTCTTCAATGGTCTCAGCTGAGACCCGTGAGCCTTGGTTTCAAATTCCCGATCCAGAAGATCGGCGAGAGGAAAGTCAGCCAGGTTTGTCTTGGCTGCATTTTGCTCGGATGTTAGGACTTTAACTTTTTGCTAATTGATGGGTTTTCCATGAAACCACTAAAAGTTAAACTTTTAGCAGGGGAGCAGGAAGCAACCAGCCGGATCAGTTTTGTTGTGAATGTCACCCCGAGGGGAGTTCTTGACAGACTTGTTTGAATGGAAAGCAATCTGCCAACGGTGTATGTTTGTTGGGAGGGTAGTTGCGGACCCTTTGGCCATCATATATATATATATATATGGGGATTACTGTCCACAGTTTTCGGGCTGTGGTGGTCGCCTTGGCGGCCAGTTCTTGGAGTGAAGAGTTGGCAAACCCTCTCTATTTCAATTGCTGCCTTCCTTTTGAAAGAAGTGGACAGTCAAGTTACAAAGCTTCCCAAATGTTTGGATCCCGTACAATATTTCTGGAAGAGGTACCTGGGATTTCCTCAAAGTCCGAAATAACACCCTTTCAACATGACCCTGAACACTCCGAGAAAAAAAGAAAAGAAAACACACACGATTTGTTGGGACATAGCACCCAAGGTGTAGCCAGAGCATAAGCCCAGTTGTTCTGTTGCACCGTTTTGCCTTGTTTGTTGGGGTTCCCGGTTTCCCAGTACAACTTGGTCAACCCTAAAGCCAGTTCCAATGATTGGGTTGGAAAAACGAAGCAAAACAATGTCTGTCAGGGTTTCCTCTCTTTCCCTTTTTGGAGCCTCCAAAAGTGGCGATCCTTTCAACGCCCACCACCAATAAGTTGCAGCTTTTTGGGGGAATCCAGCGACCAATCCCCTAGGTCCCCCAGCCAGGAGCCCTTTTTAACCCCCTTTTTTGGTTGGGAGGGTTGCCCTACTAAAATATTGGTACTCTAAACCCTAGCCTCTCTACTGCAACACCTAGTGTCTGCGCACGTCCGGCCGTAGGAGTCTTTGCTGGCCCAGGGCAGAAAGGACCCCAGCCAGATCTATGAGGAGGACCCGGCCCAGAAAGCGGTCGCGAGACCGGGTGATGGGGATCAAAACCACACAGATGGCCATGGGTCAAAAGCCAAGTCGTACCCCCAGTGAACATCCCAATCCCAACTAAAATAGACTAAAATTGGTGGCGCACCTACCCCAAAATGGTACCAAAACGGTTTTGAAAGACAGCCAGATGGGTATCTGCCCAAATACGGGGCCACTTTGGTGGTGTTCCTGTTGGCTTCCCTTTCAAACAACCCGAAAAGGGCGCCGCAGAAAAAAAAAAAGTTTGCTTGGGAGTTGCTATCGGGAGCCATCAAGCTTGAGGCTTGAAGTTCGCTTCAGCAGGGTTTTCTCCATTCCCCTTTGAAGGGAACCTCCAAAAGCGGCTTTTGTTTCTTTTTTTGTGTGTTGGGAGCCCAGGAAATTGCAGCTGAAAACGGCATCCTCTCAGTTGTTCAGTGGCACCAATTCTTTTTCTTTTTCCCTTTTTTTCTGGTGGCGTCTCCACTAAAAAATCGGTCCAAGCCCCAAGAAGGGTTCCCTTTTCTTTCCAGGGTCACTGAGCAACTGCGTCCTTTGTGACCCCTCGAAGCTCGTAGGAGTCATGCACCAGCGGACCGCTGAAGTACCTTTGCTGCTGCTTCTTGGGGCTCAAGAAGTCGAGTCGATTGGACGGGTCTGGGGGCGTCTGGGGACGGCTTTGCTTGAATGCGGCAAAGCGCAAAGGTCTTTTTGCAGGGCTCCTCAAAAGAAATACATTTTGCCACCATTTGAAACATGTGGCTTTTTCAACACCAAAATAAAGTTGGAAACCACCATTTACAAGTTGCAATGTTCAGGTGTATAAGGTACGGATCCCCTGTTTTTGGGGAGAGACACCAAGCAAAGGACACTCTGGTGAACATGAGGGCGGTGGTTCCAATAAGTCCTACTTAGATGTCATCCGAGCGGCACGTTTTAGATGGATCCGCTCTCATGGGGTGAAAAATGGGGGGGACCCTGCAAATACTGGTTGGTTTTCTTCTACTAGGTCCCCCTTCACCCTTTTTTTTGGGGAGGGTTCCCCTACTAAAAATAGACGACAGAAAAAAGTTGGTACCCTTATTCTAACCTCTCTACTGCAGGACCTAGTCTAGAGACATTTGGTGCAAGTTGACAAAGTCACCTCTCAACTTGCTGGTGCTCGGTAGGGAATGACCCAGGTGTTGGGAATGAACCGGTCTTGGGGATTCCCTTAAAGGAAACCACGGGATTGTACGGGTCGTTCCCTCATGCCCTGCTGAGAACCAGCGAGTTTACTTGGATGGTCTGGAAGGAATTGCCAAGTGGTTAGTAGCCCCAGTTGCCAAGGTTGAAAGGGGGGGGGTAGCGGGCCAAGCTACGTCCCAGAGCATCTACTTGATTGCAACGGGGTATTTTTTCCAGCAACTTAGGCGTTTTTGTTTTCCTTTTTATTTCCATGTGTTTTTCCCTTTTTTCATATTTTCCGGATAGGTTCACAGCTTTGGCCGTTTGCAGAGCAGGTCACGTGTGAGGGCAAGCCTTAGGCCTGCAAAACGGGAACCGCGGATCGGTCAGGCGTGGTAGACTTGGGGCATTGGGCCCTATCCTGACCTGGACCAGTGACCTTTTTCCGCCGTCCACCCGTAGCCCCCTTGCTTTGTTTCCCACAAGCGAAAAAGGGCACGCGCAACCAGCTCGGGACAACTGAGCAGATTTTGGACCACATTCCAAGGTTCACTAGACAAAGAAACCAGGATCAATCGTATGGCTATGAATTTGAATGAGGAATACGGAAGACTGCCCCAAATGCTTGGTGGACACGTTTGTTCCTACAGGACGTCCACCAGAGGGTCTATTAATCAAATTTAGGCCTATATCACTTTACTGGTCTTTTGTTGGACCGAATCGCCCCAACAGCACCTGCTGGAAACACATCGCGTTTCCATTGAACTCACACTAGGTGGTCGACCTTTTGCTCGTTTGGGGGAAAGGAGCAACCCATGTCATTTGTGTTGGGGCCAACATGAGGGGCATTTCCAGGTATGGTGTTTGGAGGGTGGATGCTTACATACCACGATATGCTTTTAAGGCAGTTTACACCCCCAAGTGGCATACAACCTCCATACCATATCTCCAAAGACCCTACTTAGATGGTGTGGTAGAGGTGTACGAATTTATCTCACTCCCAAACAATCTAAGTACCTAGAGTTTCCTTCTGACCCAAATCAAACATGGGTTGCCACGCCCTTTTTGTTTGAGGCAACCAACCATTTTTTGATTCGCGTCAGACGCCACGACCCGAATCAACCCATGGGTTGCCATGGCGCCTTCTTTTTTTTTCTGGGGAGGGTCAGCTGCAGAGACTCCCGATGCTTTTCGGGCCCTCAAAGTGGGTTGTCAAGGGCCCCGTTTTTGAGGGGAAAAGGCCCCGGCATGTGGAGGGGTCATGAGCCATGAGCCTTAGGGCGCCCGAAAAAAAATGGGCTTCCGAGAGGTTGCAACCTCATCAACCTGGCATTCTCGCAGATCCCGCCTCAGATCTTTGCAGCTGCCCACGCATTTGGGCCTGTCTTTGTTGGAGGTGGGCCCCCCATTGTTTTGTTTTGCTCAGTTGTTCAAAGCCGACCTTTTGACCTTTTGATTTTCCCATTTTGGTCCATATTTAGTCATGGCCACAAAAGGTTAACCTTTTAGTTCCAGGTCCTTTGGACAACTGAGTTTGAGGTGGGGCTCCTGAAAAGCAGCGCTTATGCTTTGGCTGCCCACAAGAGCGTTTGCAGAGAACAGAAGTTACCACTAACCCACCACTCACCCTGTTTAGGGAAACCGCATTTGGGTCTGTCGTTTTTTGAGCGTACCTTTCTTTTGTGACTTGAAAAAGAAAACGAGAGGAAAACCAAACTCCATTTGGAGGCATGCCCTATAAAGAAAGACGCCTGGAGTCTCCGAATCTGATCCGAAAAGCAGCAATTCGGGTCAAAGAACAGGGTGGCAACCCATTTTGGAAGGGTCAAGAACAGCTCAGGTAGGGTTCAAACAGTGGGGGCCCGGGGGTTATTTGGGAGCATTGTTGGGAAGAGTCATTGTTTATTCGGGTTGTGTCAGGGAACCCGCAAAAAATAACTGGGCAACTGCCCTTGGTTCTTTGGTTTCCCTTCTGTTTCCCTAAACAGCCCCACTTAAATGGGGTACCCTTAAGAAAGGCCAACCCGGGTTTGGATTCCAAACCAATCAGGAAGCTGATAGGTTGCCAGATTCTTGGATACGATGGTTGCGACATTCATTTCGCACCAAGAAGCCCTGGAATGATTTCAGAAGGGGTCCCTTATCTTGAGCAACGCTCGTATATTTGACGTCATAGTTTGGGAAGGTGGTGCGAAATGGATTTCGTCGTAGGAGAAGCGGTAAAGTTAAAAACACGGTACCCAGATTGGTACTGGCAGATACTGCTGGACGATATTCCCGCACCTGAGATGGATAGTGTTGACCCCATACTAATCAACCCAGGTTACTAATAGGGGGGTGGCGTTTAAGAGCGGGTTTCGAAACCGATCTCCCGATCTTTTTGCTGTGGATGGACCAAATCTTCGCATCAATCGGCAGGAAGGTTTGTTCTGAGCCTCTCGTGGAATTTTAAAGGGAGTGTCCAACTGTCCAACTGGGTTTGGTGGGGAATCAGACCACTTTTGCAGGAGCGTGGTTTCAATGGGGTGAACAAATACAACTAGCTCACCCGGGCGGGTTGAAAGACTATGAAGGTCTCTGTTGGGGATTCCGTGGTTGGGATTTGTGGATTTCGGCATTTTAGATTCTATTTAGAGTCTCCATGACCCCCTTTTTAAATGACCCCCGTATTTCAGTTGACCCCATTGTTTGACAAGGTCCTGCAGTAGTGCCCTTTTACCCTTTTTTGGGGGGAGGGTTCCCTTACTAAAATAGACACGGAAAAAAGTTGGTACCCTTATTCTAACCTCTCAAATCTGGAGGACCTAGTTTAGTAGACGCCATTGTTTAAGGGTCAGACGAAGGCTGATATTTGGGAGTTGGAATTTGCAATCGGTTCAGCTCTCGGATCTTTGGGAGCCTAGGACCCCTAGGACGGCCAGAGGCAGACACACGGCATCTGGGGTCCTCCTGTGGGGTCCACTTGAGCTATCAGAAACTGGAATCCCATGAAGCGGACGCCGGGTCATACTGTGGATGGACGAAATCCATTTCGCACCACTTGGAACGCATGGGAACCGGTTGTTTGTTGGCATGTACAGGGGAATCGAATCATTCCCAGGGTTTCTTAGGTGGTGCAGGATTTCGTCCATCCACAGTAGGTGTCCGTTTTGGCTGTGTTCTTCGGGAAATAGATGGGTTTCCATTCCTGGTTTACCTGGTGTTTTTTTCTCATCTACCAAGGGGTCTCCTTTCTGACCCCTAGAAAAATAATTGGCCCAGTCATGACCCGAAGCTTTTTCTTTTGGGCAGTCTGACCCGGACCATTTTTTAAGGGTCAGAGTCGGAGAATCTAGGTACCAGGGAAACCCATCTATTTCCAACCTAAAAGGACGCCTATGAGCTTTCGGTGCCAGGTGTCCGTGGCAAATTGGGCCTGGGGAAGTCACCCTCCCCCACGTGGACAGTAGCTAGGTCCCCCAGCGAACGGTGCCGGAAGGGTTCCCCTACCAAAATAGACTACAGAAAAAAAGGTGTGCCCTTATTCTAACCTGTCTACTGGAGGACCTGGGTAGGGTCAAAGGCTGGTTTTCCTTGAAACCCCCCAAAAAGGAGACCCTCAACAAGCCCATTATCCAAATGTCAACCCTGAATGCCCAAAACCACCTCTTATCTCCTATCTGGCCCATCTTGACCTCGTAGCTTTTAGCTGGGGCAAAAATGGGGAGTGGTTCTCCGGAATGGTTCGGCGTTTCCCTTTAAAACCTACCAAAAAGGGGTACCAACTTCAAACAAAAACAAACACACCTCTGATTTTGTTGGTTTTTGGCTTTGCGGTTTAAATGGGATCCCCTCACAAACCTCCTGGTGTTGAACAAGGGGCTAAATTCCATCACAAGAAGTACGTCAGAGTGTGGTTCCTTCGGTTTTTTTTCTTTAAGCCACCGCCATGTTCGTATACAACTTTGGTGCCGATGGCTTCCATTTGCTGAAATGAGTATTTGTTCTTTTCCATGGCTGGTTTGAAAGGGAATCGACAAAGCGCGACAAAGACCTCAACTTCGGGGCTGTTCCGCTGGCCCCGAGTCCCGCAAAGAGCGGCGTGTCGGGCGGTCGCGGTGGACCCAGGCGGCCTGGCACGGGCACCTGGATCAGCGGGAGTGCTTCCAGAGCCTCGAGACGCCCCCTGGCGGCTTCGCGCTTGCGGAGTCGGTTGTACTTTTTTTTGTTTTGCATTCCCCTAGGTAGCCTCAAGCCCAGGATTTGTTTTTTGGCAGGGTTCACCTCTTTGTGTATTTCTAGGTAGGCTTATACCCAGGGATGGTTTGTGGCTGGCGCCCGCGAAAAGTTTCGAGTCGAGCGCGGGGGTAACGCAATGGTTGGGGGGGGGTGGGGGTGGGGGGGAGGGGTACGGGTAATTTTGGGCAGGGTTCTCTTTGTGTATTTCTAGGTAGTCTTAAACCCAGGGATGGTTTGTGGCTCCAGGGAGATCCTGGGTTTGAGTCACTGTGGGAAGTCAAACATACAGGCATGATTTTGAGGGGAGCTAAGGAGCTGGGACGTATCCAGCGAAAGGTTGTGTCACCACAATGGTTGAGGGGGGGGGGGTTGGGAGGGAGGGGGGGGTTGATATGCAAACAACTTGCATTTGCTTTTCGGAATATTTGTTATTTTCCGCTGTTGGTTTTTAAAAGGGAACCGATTTCACTACTGGAAATATATTCTCATATTGTCCAGGGGACTTAGGCAAACAGAGGACAACGGTTTTGATGTGCAAAGGAGGTGGTCCAAACATAGGGTATCGCCATTTTTGGAATGTTTGGTGGCGGGTCTTTGGACTGAACAACTTGTTGGGAAACAGTGGATTTCCAATGGAGTCCATTTCGCACCACCCGAGAGACCCCTGGGATGGTGGTATTGAAGGGGTCTCTTATCTTGAGGAACACTCATATGCTTCCATTTGAGATTATCTGGTATGGAACGCAAAAGTTGTCGATGAAAAGGACCAGCTGGTAGTTTCTGAAAGGGAAGCCACAGGAACACTTAATGTAAAACCATTCCCTCCGTTTGCGTTTCAGAATATGTTTTTTACTTTTCCTTGATGGCTTTAAAGTTGGAATCGCTTTCACCATTGGACATGTTGTATCATGTTTGTCCGGGGGGCGCACAAATGAATGGACGTACAATCGGGGAGCCCCACTGTGGGCTTCTCGTTTTTGGAGTTAGTACGTATGTTTTGTGGTTTTAAGGGGAAACCAAGAGGCAAACCCACCATTTTGGGGCGTCACCCAAAACAAGACACACCCAAAATAGGGGAACCATTTTTTATGGCTATTTGGAAACCTATCTTAGGGAAAAAGCTTGTTGGCTGAAACTTTAGAGCCTCCGGCTCAGTCCGCCGACATTGTCCTCTCCCTTTTCTCCTTCTTCCTCTCTTCCTTGTCTCCCTTGTGTGCTCTCCCTCCCTCTGCTCCCATCCTCCCCATCCCCCCAAGCCTCTCTCTTCCCAATCTCCCTCTCTCGTATGTATGCATGCATGTACATAAGTATGTATGTATGCATGTATGTATGTATGTATGTATGTATGTATGTATGTAATGTAAGCAAGTAAGTAAGTAAGTAAGTACCTAAGTAAGTATGTATGTACGTAATGTATTTATGTATGTATGTATGTATGTAATGTAATGTATGTATGTATGTAATGTATGTATGTATGTAATGTATGTATGTATGTATGGATGGATGTACGTATGTATGTATGTATGTAATGTAATGTAATGTAATGTAATGTAATGTAATGTAATGTAATGTAATGTAATGTAATGTAATGTAATGTAATGTAATGTAATGTAATGTAATGTAATGTAATGTAATGTAATGTAATGTAATGTAATGTAATGTAATGTAATGTAATGTAATGTAATGTAATGTAATGTAATGTAATGTAATGTATGTATGTATGTATGTATGTATGTATGTATGTATGTATGTATGTATGTATGTATGTATGTATGTATGTATGTATGTATGTATGTATGTATGTATGTATGTATGTATGTATGTATGTAATGTATTATGTATGTACGTATGTATGTATGTATGTATGTATGTATGTATGTATGTATGTATGTATGTATGTATGTATGTATGTATGTATGTATGTATGTATGTATGTATGTATGTATGTATATGTATGTATGTATGTATGTATGTATGTATGTATGTATGTATGTATGTAATGTAATGTAATGTAATGTAATGTAATGTAATGTAATGTAATGTAATGTAATGTAATGTAATGTAATGTAATGTAATGTAATGTAATGTAATGTATGTATGTATGTATGTATGTATGTATGTATGTATGTATGTATGTATGTATGTATGTATGTATGTATGTATGTATGTATGTATGTATGTATGTATGTATGTATGTATGTATGTATGTATGTATGTATGTATGTATGTATGTATGTATGTATGTATGTATGTATGTATGTATGTATGTATGTATGTATGTATGTATGTATGTATGTATGTATGTATGTATGTATGTATGTATGTATGTATGTATGTATGTATGTATGTATGTATGTATGTATGTATGTATGTATGTATGTATGTATGTATGTATGTATGTATGTATGTATGTATGTATGTATGTATGTATGTATGTATGTATGTATGTATGTATGTATGTATGTATGTATGTATGTATGTATGTATGTATGTATGTATGTATGTATGTATGTATGTATGTATGTATGTATGTATGTATGTATGTATGTATGTATGTATGTATGTATGTATGTATGTATGTATGTATGTATGTATGTATGTATGTATGTATGTATGTATGTATGTATGTATGTATGTATGTATGTATGTATGTATGTATGTATGTAATGTAATGTATGTATGTATGTATGTAATGTAATGTAATGTAATGTATGTATGTAATGTGTATGTAATGTAATGTAATGTAATGTAATGTAATGTAATGTAATGTAATGTAATGTAATGTAATGTAATGTAATGTAATGTAATGTAATGTAATGTAATGTAATGTAATGTAATGTAATGTATGTAATGTAATGTATGTATGTATGTATGTATGTATGTATGTATGTATGTATGTATGTATGTATGTATGTATGTATGTATGTATGTATGTATGTATGTATGTATGTATGTATGTATGTATGTATGTATGTATGTATGTATGTATGTATGTATGTATGTATGTATGTATGTATGTATGTATGTATGTATGTATGTATGTATGTATGTATGTATGTATGTATGTATGTATGTATGTATGTATGTATGTATGTATGTATGTATGTATGTATGTATGTATGTATGTATGTATGTATGTATGTATGTATGTGTATGTATGTATGTATGTATGTATGTATGTATGTATGTATGTATGTATGTATGTATGTATGTATGTATGTATGTATGTATGTATGTATGTATGTATGTATGTATGTATGTATGTATGTATGTATGTATGTATGTATGTATGTATGTATGTATTTCCCGCAAAAAAAACACGGTTTTTCCAGCGTTTTCGCAAAGAGGACGTCCAAAAACATTGAGTTTTTCCAGATTTTCGGCAAAAGGATGCAGGAAGCCCAAGCCAGCAAAAAAGCCGGCAGGGGGAATCGAGCCTGGGACCCCTGTTTTGCGACACCGGCTCCCCGAAGACTACGTTTAGTGGAACGTCATCAAATTGCCGCGCGGTACGTGGGGGACCCCCCCCCCAAAAAAAAACCTACGTAATAGACGTCGGGCGGGGGGGGGGTTAGGGGGGGGGGTTATCCTCTATCCTCTAGTAAGTATCCGACACGCCGATTTTGTTCTAGGGGTTGATGTCCATTTCATTTCAACCATCGTTCTTTCCAGAAACTGGCTCCGTTTTCCCGGGGTTTCCGGAGGTTTTCGGAGGGAAGATTCGGATCCCTGGAAAGGATGGAAATGGAAGGTACCCCTAGAAAACCTTGACATAAACGGTTGTCCTCTTTGTCTCCCTTTAAAGTAAAAACATCCCAAAAAGAAAAACAAACACTCCCAAAACCGAATTGGATTTTCCGAGTTGGACCCACAACAAGTTTTCACAACTTTTTGCAGAGGGGTGGATGCCGGACGCCCTGGCCATATTGCGAGGGGAGCAAGGGAACTTTTCTAGGTCCCCCAGCAATTGGTGCCCTTTTTGGGGGGAGGGTTCCCCTGAAATAGACTACAGAAAAAAGTTGGTACAACTTATTAGAACCTCTCAAATCTGGAGGACCTAGGTAATGTCCCAGGGTTTTGTGGGTGGGTGTGGTTGGTTTACTTGCAGTATTTGTATGGCATCCACCACATCGCGGTGGTTGCCTACAATACTGGGTTGCCCGTGCAAATGGAAACAAGGACGACTTGACCTGTGGTCCCCTGGTGGTTTAATTTCGATCCATACCCTTGTGGGATAGACTAAAAGACAACTTGTTGCAAGCTTTCAAAACATGTCATGGGTGTAGGGCAAACTAGTTACGGAGAATTGTGAAGAAATTGTAGGAGTAAGCCATTGGCAACCGTTTTGGCCCTTGCATTATCCAGCCGGAAAGGGCAACCCAAAGCAACCCCCCCCCCCCCCAGAAACAGGGCACAAAAAGCACATCCCCAAGATTGAAGGGGCCTAGCATTGGGGGAGAGGGGGTGTGGGGGGGAGATTGCGGCTTGCTCGTTTCGGAGTCTTTGTTCAGGAAACCGAGTTTGTCTCCAAGTGAATCACTTCCAATGGCCGCTGGGGGTTTGGGTTGAAAGGAGAAGCAAGAAAGACCATGTAACCCCTAAACCCTAAATCCGACAGGTGTGGGTGGATGCAGGTTCTCTTTGCACTACTGGCTGTCAGATTTCGGCAGTTATTAAATTTTGATTTTCTAAGCCATGCTGCCAGGCAGACCCCGTGGAACTTTTTGCCCCCGATCTTCTTGAAGGTTTTGTTTTACCTGCTTGACACGCGGGTTTCCTTGAAGTATCCTTTTAACCAAAAGTTCTTCACAGGAATGAACCAGAAGGGCACTCCCTTAAAGGAAACCAAGTCGGGGATGGCTTTCTTGGGCTCATTCCCTGGCTACATTCCCTGCTTATCGAACCTTAGATCAAGTAGTCCGGTTACGGGAAATTCTACACGAAAGCAGCGTCTTTAGGGTGTTTTGGGGCCCATTTCCTGTAGATTTCCCTGTACCTTTGATTCAGATCACTACAGAAGCACGCCTAGGGTTCTCTCCTCTTAGCCCCTCCGAAACCTCCCAAGAACCAAGGGTGAAACGCCCAACCCCCCCCCGCCCCCAAACCCCCAAAACGGCCCAACGCGCTCCAAAGCCCCTCGCCCAAACCCCAAACCAAACCCACCAAACTCACATACACTGGGCCCATGATGTATTTGGGCCCCACTCTTTGTTTCTTAACCTATTACAAATTTTGAGTAAGCTGAAAAGAGGGGGAACCACAGGTAAAGCCGCCATTTGGAGGATCCCCCCCACATTTTCAGGTCGACACCCGTGGTTGTCAAATCGTTTCCTTCCATTTGCTTAAGACTATTTCTTATATTTTCCCCTTGGTTTTAAAGGGAATCGATTTCTCTACTGGACATATTTTCTCATTTTTCTTCCAGGGGTCGAATAACCAAATGGAAGTTTCTTCTCGTCGACGCCTGTGCATGGTTGTTGCTGAGAAACATTTTGCCCATGTTTGCTTATTGTGGTTGAGTGGTTGAAATCCAACTCCACTCAACTGCTAAAATTTGAGATTTTTGCTCCCCAAACCCAACGTCAACCAAGTAACACCCTTCCCTAGGAGCCCCAAGAGGACCCCAAGGTTAGTAAGGGACAATCCCAACGAAAATAGCTGCGGCCGCCTTCTTAATTCTTTACGGAGGGGTATTTATTTTAGGATTTTTTTCGTTTTTTTTTTGGATTTTTTTTCGCTTTTGGCTTCTTGGCTTCTTGGCTTCTTGGCTTCTTGGCTTCTTGGCTTCTTGGCTTCTTGGCTTCGCTTCTCGGCTTCTGGGCTTCTAGGCTTTTCGGCTTTTCGCATCCTCTGCATTCCCAGTTCCTCTTCGGCAGGTGGCGTTTTTCCGACATCAATGGGGGGGGCTGCCGGCCTAGTTGCACCCCTAGTTGAATCATCAATTCTTCGAACATCATGGGGGGGTTGCACCCCTAGTTGAATCATCAATTCTTCGACCATCATGGGGGGGGCTGCCGCCCCCCCCAACCCCCCCGCTACTTTTTAGACTTTTTGCAGAGATTTAATTGCACCCCTATTCAAATCATCACTTCTGCAAACAACATCGTGGGGGGGGCTGCCGCCCCCCCCAACCCCCCCGCTGCTTTTTATATTTTTTTACAGGGATTGACATGCCCTCCTACTTGAATCATCATTTCTTTGACCCCGTCACACGATTTGTGGGTGATGCTAGGGATGTTGGTGGGACATGCGGGGATATTTCGCGCGAGAACATGCTGTAAAATACGACACTTTACTGGCCCGGCAGAGATTGAATTGCACCCCTGTTTGAATCATCACTTTTTCGAGCGTCCAATTTCGCGAGAAAATGCTGCAAAATACGACATTTTAGGTAATCTGTGTAGTCCGTGTATGTCTGTATGTATGCATTTCTTCGAACATCATAGGGGAAGCCACCCCCGCCAACCCTCCCGCTGCCTTGTAAATTCTATCACACCCTTTCTTGAATCATTGCACCCCACTTGAATCACCACTTCTTCCGACATCATGGGGGGGCTGCCGCCCCCCCCAACCCCCCCCGCTACGTTTAGATTTTCTACAGAGATTTAATTAATTGCACCCCTAGTTGAATCATCAATTCTTCGAACATCATGGGGGGGGGCTGCCGCCCCCCCCCAACCCCCCCGCTACTTTTTAGACTTTTTGCAGAGATTTAATTGCACCCCTATTCAAATCATCACTTCTGCAAACAACATCGTGGGGGGGGCTGCCGCCCCCCTCCCAACCCCCCCGCTACTTTTATATTTTTTTACAGGGATTGACATGCCCTCCTACTTGAATCATCATTTCTTTGATCCCGTCACACGATTTGTGGGTGATGCTAGGGATGTTGGTGGGACATGCGGGGGATGTTGACGGGCTAGTGTAAAATGCGTCAATTTCGCGAGAACATGCTGTAAAATACGACACTTTACTGGCCCGGCAGGGATTGAATTGCACCCCTGTTTGAATCATCACTTTTTCGAGCGTCCAATTTCGCGAGAAAATGCTGCAAAATACGACATTTTAGGTAGTCTGTGTAGTCCGTGTATGTCTGTATGTATGCATTTCTTCGAACATCATAGGGGAAGCCACCCCCGCCAACCCTCCCGCTGCCTTTTAAATTCTATCACACCCTTTCTTGAATCATTGCACCCCTACTTGAATCACCACTTCTTCCGACATCATGGGGGCTGCCGCCCCCCTCCCAACCCCCCGCTACGTTTTAGATTTTCTACAAATTCTTCGAACATCATGGGGGGGGCTGCCGCCCCCCCAACCCCCCCGCTACTTTTTAGACTTTTTGCAGAGATTTAATTGCACCCCTGTTCGAATCATCACTACCCCGCTCTGTTTTTCTTGGATTTTGTTACCCACCATTTGTTGGTGATGCTAGGGATGTTGGTCGGACATGCGGGGGATGTTGAAAACGATGCTGGGGATGTTGACGAGCTAGTGAAATGCGTCAATTTCGCGAGAAAATGTAAAATACGACACTTTGCTGGCCCGGACGAAAAACGGAAAAAAATCAAAAAAAAAAACGAAAAAAAAAACCCAAAATAAATCCGCACCCATTCTTTACATGGCTCTGGGTCAACCATTTTAATGCCGGGTTTTGATTGTGACTCACCTGCGTTTGTCAAATCGATTTTTGTTTTTCTTCAGGAGCGGGATGCTGATGAAGTGGGGCGTTCGCGGGTTGAGCTGGCTGCTGCTCTATGCGAGCTGCTACATGCTCTTCCAGCCCTTGCTGGTTCCTCGTGATTCAAGTGGAACAAATCCAGGGTTGTGGGATCAAGGTGTTTTTTCCCCCACTTCTGTGATACAAGGGGAGTCCCCTTTTACATGGGGGGGTTAGTCTTTGGGAGGCCCTTTCGGCAGGGGTCTGTGCACTTCCATGTTAGCTGGTGGAGAAGAAATGGCCGTGGGTCAAATCCAAAGGGATCCATTTTAGAACCTATTTTTGTGGTTGGAGTACGGGGTTTTGACCCATGGCCAAATCAAAATCGGCCTGTCGCCATGCCCCCCAAAAAATGGTTGGTCATTACCCAAAAGAAAGGGGTAAAATGGGCCCATTTTTTGCAGGGTGAGAGAGAGACTCCAGGTAGTTACAAATGGCTGTGGGTCTAGACCAATGGGATCCATTTTAGAACCTATTTTAGTGGGGATTGGGATTTTCACTGGGGGTACGGGGTTTTGCAGGGCCAAATCGGAATCGGCGACCTGTCGCCATGACCCCTTAAAAATGGTTGGTCAATTACCCAAAAGAAAGGGGTTAAATGGGCCCAATTCACAGGGTCACAGAGACTCCAGTTTGGATTGGGATGTTCACTGGGGGTACGGGGTTTTGACCCATGGCCAAATCGGATTCCGCGAGTTCCGCTTGCGTTTCAGAATACGTTTCGCGCATGTTGGCTTTAAAGGGATGGAACCAGTTGGTAGGTGGTATATCCCATATTTATAGGGCGTCATCCATCCCAACTGGTGCGAAGTGGATTTTGTCCATCCGGGGGGAAATCAACCAAGCAAAGAATTGATGACCCTTTTTCGCCCTGGCAACTGGAGGGTCTCAGTCTGGCTTGCGGTGATCAAAGTAGGGATCCATTTGACCCTACCAAGCCCAAGAAACGAGCCCTCTGCTCCAACCCTTCCGAGGCCTCAAAGAATGGGGTTCAAGGGCCAACATGGACTTGAACCCATAGTTCTCCTTTTGCGGGCAATGAGCCACCCCTGAGTTTAAGTCTACCCAGAAATTCTCAAAAAGTGGAGCCCTGACTGGGATTGTTTGAAGACACATAGACCATCCAACCGGTGGTTTCCTTTAAGGGAATCCCTAGTTCCATTGCCAAACCCCGGACTCGGTCATTCCCTAGTGAAATGGGGTACCCTGAGAGTATGAACCAAATGAAGAGGAAGAAGGCAACTGGAATGAAAATTGGCGCTGCCGCTCCCACCTCTCCCAAATTGGTGGTAGCCGAGCCCGGTGGTTTGAATCGACCAGACCGTCGGGGGAGCCATAATCAAAACCTGGATAAGTGAAGGGTAGTAACCCAGAGGGTCCAAGTACCTCATGAGGATGGCTTTTGGGGGGTAAAAGGGATCTACAGTAAGTACCTCCTTAGAAGGTATCAAGGGGCCCTCTGGGTAAAGCCAGAATCAGTTGCGGCCGCCTTTGTAGTTCAAAGCATTGGTTCCCTAGGAGCCCAAGACCTCATTATTTGAGGTCGGAGAGGGGGTCACAGGCCAACTCATATTTAGGGTCCAAGGGGCTCCTTGGGTTTGGGTACCACGTGTTTTTCTAGCCATCGGTTTTGCTGGTGAATCAGGTGGCAGCCGCTACCTCTCCCATTTTTTTGTTTTAAAGCAAGCGAGCCCCGTGGCTTTTGGGCACCGGCTCGACCGTCGATGGCCAGGTGGTCTTGGACATCATCCCCTTTTTAGGGCCCTATTTGAGCTCCGGGACGAGCTTCGTGCTGTGCCTGGTCATCTTCATCATCACGCTGCTGCTGCTCGAGCCAGCGGTTTCTTCTTTTTTTTTGAGGGGGGTCCGTTTTTTGATGAATCGCGGAGAGCTCTGAGATCCGGTTTTGGGGGTGGAGGAAAAGGTTTACAAGAGGTCGACTTCTGTGTCCATGCTTGAAACATCGTAAAGTTTGGAGGATTGTTTTGCAGTGGGGTAGAAGTTCTAGAGTGGAAGTACTTCAAAGGTGGTTGGGTGGACGTGAACTCGCACCTCACGTCCACAGGGTCCCTATTCAACATACATCATGTCCAATTTATAAGTCCGGGTTCCCTATTGTTCCCCGTGATTCAATCATCATTTTTGGGCCTTGAGTGGGGCGGCTGCTTTGAATGGGTGAAGTCCTGTAACCCAGTCTTTGCTTCGAATGCCCGGCATGCCCATGCCGCTGATTTTCCATTTTTTCTTGTGGCTGAGATGGATTTGGCCCATGCAGTGGCAGTAGTTCCAGTCTTTAAACACCATTTTCGAGCAAGGAGCCTCCATTGATTGAATGGCTTGACTGCTTTGCCATTAAGAGAACCACAAGCATCAGCAAGGACCCTCCAGAGGAAAGGGATCTCTGGATCGGTTTGGACCGGAAAGGCTCTTTTGAGGTCTTAGTTATGTGGGTCGTTCTTTTCAACTCCCATCCGTTGCAAAGAAGTCAGTGTGCACGGATCGATGCTGCTAACCAGGGCGTCTAGCCATGCCAAAGCCAGCCCGGTGTCGCCTAGGAAATGTCCACCTGGGAGTGTCCCCCCCGCACCCAAACAATGGGGGCACATGATGAATAGCATCTTGAGATCCAGTTCAATTGAGTTTACATTTGATTTCGTATTGCCGGAGCTCCTTTTGAGATTTGGAGTTGAGTCTCCATTTGATTTAGTATTGCTGGAGCTCCTTTTGAGATTTGGAGAAGAGTTTTCAATTGATTTAGTATTGCTGGAGCTTCCTTTTTTTTGGCGGGAGCAGGCAACAAGACTTCTTTCCAGGGGTCCCTGAAACAATGTTAACTTGGGGTCTCAAGCACTCTCTTTGCGGGCTTGATTGCGGACAGTTTTTCAACGAGACACATGTAAGAAAGCATGGGTTTGAGAAAGCTGACCATTTTGGATTTGAGGAGCGGGGCCAATTCTAACAACTAAGCCTGAAGCATCGCCAGCTTTGCTCTGGGCTGTTCAATTTCTCACATTTGAAGGGGCAATTGCGCTGGGCCGGTTGTACTTTTTTTCCGGGGGCCAGGCAACAAGACTTTCTTCCTGGAACCCTGACCTAATTTTGCAATTTTGGGGGCCTTTGCAGGCCAGGCTTTAAACAAGAGACATGCAAAATAAAACATGAGTGTTTGTGAAACAAAGACGCCAAAGATCCAAGAACCAGGTGTGAAAGCTGGATTTTGTTTGTGAAAAAAAAGACACCGAAGATCCCAGAGCCAAGAATGTTGGCTTGGCTATACCTCTCCTCTCTCTCCTTTTCTCCTTCCGTTTTGCGGGGTCGCGCTGTTTTCAGACCCATCTGCGCGGGGGTGGGCAGAATTCCAGGTGCAATTACTCCATGTGTGTTGGGCCACCCGTTTGTCTATATTCGGGGGGGGCTTCTTATTTTTTCCTAGGAGACCCTAGTGGCCGCAACGGGCCACCGTGCCATCTTCTTAAACAAAAAAGAGGTGGCATTCTTCGAAGTTGCCCATGTGAAGCCCCTTGCGGCTGGAATCCCTTTACATGGCTAGTAGACCATTTAAACACCGGGTTGAGTATGACTTGCACGGCTCTGGGTAGACCGCTTTAATACCGGGTTTGAGCATGACGCATGTCCAGTTGCATGTGGACATTGGAGAGGATGCACGACACAGCTGCGCAGGTTTTGACATGGCGCATTTGAGCCACAATCAAAACCCGGGTAGATGAAGGTCAGCAAGGGGCGTTGCGGTCGCCTTCTTTATTCTTTACATGGCTTTGGGTAGACCATTTTAATACCGGGTTTGGATTGTGACTCATTTGGGCCTTGTTCACTTGTTCCCCAACCTTGAAATTTGAGGCGTGCTGGGCGTTTGTTCTTGAGAAAGAAGTATTCTGCACAGGGCTCCAGTTTTTTTTTAACTGTTTCAGACTTGAACCCAGTGGTTCATTGGCCCCAAAGGAGAACCCCCGGGTTTGAGTCCATCTTGGGGTCCCTGATTCTGCATTTGGCGAGCCAAACAGATTGACACGCAGCACGTGCCTTTCTGAAGGTTGGTTTTCCTCCCCCAAACCCAAAAAAATGTCGGCATTTTCCGGTTGGTGTCCCGGGAACCCCATCCCAAAAACTGGTAGCCGCCAGAAAAAAGACGCCTGGAAGTCGTGGAAAAGGAAGGACACATTGCCCAGTTCCGCTTATCGAGCAGGGGAAGCCATGTGGAACCTCGAGAAAGCCAGAAGCGATTCGGGTTTTTTCGAGCCACGCCCATTTGCGTCCATGTTTTGGAAGGTACCCTTCTTGCGGGTGGTTTTCCGGGCAACGCTCAAATCAGGAATCAGTTTCATGGTGAACCAAACGCTGTGTTTAGCAACTGAATGCCTGAGCTGGCTACCCAACAGTCCAGACTTTTTGTCTGCCACTAAAATGGTCCTAACCCAACAGTTTAAAGTGAATGAACAGAGGCAATGTGTTTAATGTCCCACCTATGATCCAGAAAAACTCGGAACCGACAAGAGAACGGTTTCCCTCGGTTTCCCTTTCAAGCAAAGCCTTTCCCAGTGTTTTTTTTTTTTTTACAACTGGTTTGGTAGGCAACCCAGCAAAACAACCACCCGATAGAAATTCCACCATTGGAAAATGGTGATGCCTTCCTACAAAATCCATTTCGCACCCCCACGGAATGATTCCATTCCCCTGTAAGTACTAACCGACGTTATGGTGTCACTTCTCTGGGCCTTACCATCCACAGTAAGGTCAGTAAGGTCCTCAAATGGGTTGCCCTGCATGTTTTTTGTTTTTCAGGCTGGCGGCCGTGGTGGTGTCCCTAGCCTATATGGTCTTCCACCCCCTCATGGGCTTGATGTGCTTCGCAGGCGGCGAAAACCGTTTCTCGTGGATTTGTTTTCTCTCAAAGGGCTGGGTCATTACACATTGCTTCCATCTGCTCAATAATATGCATATGGAGGTGTATATGTATATGCTACCCCCCCCCCCAATGTCTACCATTTTGTTGGTTTCAATGGTATTTGTTATTTGTGGTGTGTTCTGCCTTTTTTGTGCTTTGGGGAAAGCATCAGAAAAAGGGTGCCTTGTTAGCATCTATTTCACTTTCTATCTAGAAACTGGCAAAACATTCTGGGGCAGAAAACCCTCTTTAGAATCTAATTCGAAGTAAGAACCACAATCAAACACGTTCTTTTCCAAAAGTCAGATGTAGTGGGAGGAACAAATGAAGACAAATCAACATTTGGGGGGAGGGGTAATATTTATTTAGTTGTTTGTTTAATTATTTATTTATTTATTTATGCATGTTTCTCTTTTGGTTTTAAATGGAATCGATCGCCACTGCAATCATGCTTATTTCGGTCCAGGGACTTCAGCAAACGAAGGATTATTACTCTAGAATCATGACTAGAAATAGTCAAACACCCAGCGGGTTGCTCCATTCACTTACATCGCACGAGTGCTCCCCCCCCTCGCGACACCCAGCGGGTTGGTTCCTTTCTTGCCTTTGCTTGGCGATTTCCAGCAAGAAACCTTTGGTGCATTTTGCTTGGCTGTTAGGACTTTAACTTCTTGCCAACTAAGAGGGGCTTTCCATATAAACCACTAAAAGTTGGTCACTTTTGGCAGGGGAGCAGATTTTGCAACCGAGAAACCAGCACTGCCGGTTTTCCCCGTGGCCACCGAAAACCGCGTTGTTCGTCCCCTGACCGATGTTCGACGCAACTGGATCCACGCATCCGACGTCCTCAAGGTCAGCGACTCGAAATCCGCTTCTCGCGCACCACTTTGAATCCATCGGAAGCAACGGCTGGTGGCAATTTACATGGGGATCGAATCATTTCAGGGTTAGGTGGTGCAGGATTTGGTTCATTCACTGTAGGTTGACGGGACGCCACTTTTTGGCACCCAAAAAGCAATCACTGTAAGGGACCCAGACAAGAAAAGTTGAACTCAATAGGAACAAAGATGGTCTACCTAAAGAAAGAACCAAAAACGACCTGCCTCCTGGAGGCAGGTCGTTTTTGGTTCTTTCTTTAGGTAGACCATAGTTGCTAATTCGGATTGGTGTTTTGGCATGGGGATTTGAACAAACCTCTGGTTCTTGTGGAGGGTAAACGGGAAAGCATCCCTAACCTCCAAACTACAATCCAAGCAAGGTATTAGAGGGAAGCTGAAATTAGAGTTCAAATCGGGTTTTAGCAAAGAGGGCACTAGTCACAGTAACCAACTAAAAATAGATGGGATTCCTTACGAGGCTTGCCACCCTCCAATTTAACCTGAAGTTAACGTTAGAAAAACCCCACAGGGAGGAAGCGGGTGGAAAGGAGACCGCGCTTGTTTTTTTTGGAGGGTACCGTTTTCAAGCCTTCGCCCTTGCTTTGTTTTGGCGGTTTCTTCGAAGTCCAAATAGGGGAGCCCTGAATTGGTTTGTTTGTTTTTGGTTTGTCCTTGTCAAAAGGGGGCCCGTTGTGAGAATCTCCCATATGTTGCATTGCGGGAGGAATCAAAACACACTGCCTGTATGCAGACGACTCTTTAAAGAACCCCCCGGGGGTTGAGCTGATCCGGGACACACACGAGCTGATCCCATCACTGACGGGCCCCTAAACTTGGATCCCCGCATGCTTGGGATGCAATGATTATGTCGCGTTCTGGAAGGTACAAAATTGGAAACAACGCATGCCAGCCTTGGAGATCTGTTATTTCACGTTTTGGAAGGTAAACAATTTGATGCCGCGATCCCATTTCCCTGTAGGTAACGGTTATAACCAGAGATCCTGTACTTATATGTTCCGTTCGGTGAAGACTCGAAGTTGGACCTGCGGGACCTAATTCCTGGATCCGGCTGAGCCAGCCAGCCGAAGACCAATAGGGGCGGATCTCCCAACCGGCCGTTTCCATTGGGTTGTTTGGATGGTTTCCTGCAAAGGATCTGCGGAAAGAATGGATGGGCGCTAGCCCTACCTAGACTCTCCACCCTTAAAAAATGGTTGGTCATGGCCCAAAATTCAGGGGTCAAATGGGCCCATTTTTAAGGGGTCATGGAGACTCTAGGTAGAATAGTGGCGAAACAACTGGGATCTCACGGCGTGTTTTCTTCAGAGGGGGCAGCCCTAGCCAGACCTAGGTGCGGAGTGCCGCCTTTGAATTTCCCGAACACATGGATTTGGGTAGACGACTTTTCATACTAGGGTTTCTCTTCACTGTTCTTAAAGCAAGCCTTTTGTTTTTTGGGGTTCTGTTTGTTTTTGCTGGGGGGGCTGCAAAACACGTCGTGTGCTACCACAATTACCCAGAGTTTGGTTCCCGTTTTGCTTGCCCCACCTGCCCATTTACCGCCCGACTCGCGAGCCGCTCGAGGCGTGGCTTTGATGTTCGGCGCCATCGCGGCGATGTCCAACTGGCTCCGCTGAGCGGCGCCGAGAGACTGCGAGAGACTGTGGGAATGAGACATGGCTGTGGCTCAAATGGCCGTGGGTCAACACCAATGGGATCCCATTTTGGGGTAGGTGAATTCACCACCCATTTTAGGACCTATTTTAGTGGGGATTGGGATGTGCACTGGGGGTACGATTTGGGTTTTGACCCATGGCCAAATGAATATACCAAAACGACACCTTGGTAAATGGAACCAAAGACTAACACCGCGTAACCCTAGCTCTTGAATTTTGAGCCACAGCCGCATGGAGTCTGGCCCCGAAAAACACCGTCCATAAGGGAATCCCAAAAGGGCTTCCTTTAAGGGAATCCCAAAATTATCCTTATAGACCATTCCTTGTGGCTTCCTTTAAGGGAATCCCTGGGTTCATTCATTCCCTCAGTCCCGACTGAGCACTTGCAAGTTCTTTTCGGGACCCGTGCGGTTCTCGAAGCGTTACCACCCAGGAGAACCACTCACGACCAAAAAGGTCGCACTGACCACTTGTTTTAGGGTTCCCTACATATGTCGTGTGACACCCTAAGACAGCCCGAAAGGAAGCTCGCTTTAAGTTGAAAAGCTGATGCGTCAGACCACCAACAAGGGGAAACTGCTCCAAGCGGGACAAGCACGGGTACCAAAAAGGACATATCAATTTGGGCCAGTTTGAAAACCTTTCACGTGAATGCATTTGGGTGTGTCTTTTAAAGGAGACCCCACAAAATGATGAGTGTCCTTCTGGTTCGCCTTTAAAAACACCAACAATGGAACCCTCAGAAATCGACACACCCATTTGTGCTTGAAATTGTGCTTATCCGCTCCATGTTCATAGGACGTCTTTGATAGATCCCGAGTGATCAAATCGCGCGCTTTCGCGCGGCCGTGTGCGGGTGGATTCTTTGAGCGCCCGATTGTTCGAGCACGAAGGAGAAAAAAGGTGCGGCTGGAAGGCTTTGCCCTTTGGCCCTTGGATGGGTTTGTCTCACAATAGAGGTGCCCCCCAAATGGCTGGTTTCCTTCGTTTGCCCTTTAAACCACCCAAAAAGGGTTTCCTCAAAAAACAAGACCTGACACACCCGGATGGTCCCGAACTTTGCACGTGACAACACCGCCACTTGGAAAGCGGTCTTCCAGGACCCCCCTCGAGTCAGGTTTACCATGGCAAGCGGGTGAATTGTTTCCCCAGAGGCTCCGATCGGCTTCGGCTTTCAATGGAAGACCCGACCCCTCCAAAACGACACCCCGGGAATCGGTGAATGAGGCCCTAAATACATCGGGAGCGTTTGCAGTTTTGGTGACTCCACAAGTCAGACATTGAGCGGAAAAAAAACAAACAAACAAAACGGACGGCCCACAGGAGCCAAGAGTGAGACCAAGCGATGGGTTTCAGGGGGTTTGGGGGGGCTGGGGGATTGTAAGGCCTTTCCGATTCTCCGCGAGCCCCAGTAGTTCCAATCCCAGAAAATCCAAGTCAAGTACCCCATGAGGATGGCTTTCGGGGGGTGGAAAGGTGTCTAAGTACCTCCTTAGAATGTACTTGGACCCTCTGGGAATGCATGGTCTCCTCGCTACGTTTTAGGCAAGATGGCACGCTCTCAGTCAGCGAATCGACCCGCATCTAACCTTTCGATGTCCCCCTTTTGAGTTCCCAATTTTAGCAAGAGTCCCAAAAGCTGATCACCCTCCATGTCCAGGTCCGTAAGGGGCAAGTGAGTACTAGGCAAGGCTTCATAGGTTTTCTCGTGGATGGTTTTCCCTTACCTTTTTTGCGAACCGGAAGCACTGAGATGGAAATCGGAGCATATGTTGTTTGTTTCGTGTACCCATTGGTTCTGCGTGGCCCATGGATCCTCTCTTTGAGGGATCCGGTTAAACCCAGACTCGAGAAATCAAAGCCCCGAATTTCCGGGTTTGAAGTTTAGGACAGGATGTGGAGTTGTCCCATTGGGAAATCCAGGCTTTTGGCTAGATCCAGGGTTCATATATTTTCCCCTTAGGAGTGTTTAAAAACCAATGGTAGGCGTGTCCTTCGGTGGGGTTTGTTTTCGAGGAAATGCCGGGAACCCGTCCCCTGAGTTTTTTTGAGCTTCTGGGTCCCCCAGCTAGGTGCCCTGTCTCAACACCGTGTCTTTTTTGGTTGGGAGATTCGGTTTTCGTCTACTAAAATCGACAGGAAAAGGTTGGTATCCGAGAATTCGAACCTCTCAAATCTGGAGGACCTCGGGTTTTTTTAGGCTTTTGGTTGGGTTTCCAGACCGACAGGTTAAACTCTTGGCAGGGGATCTGACAGCCCAGATGTGTCCCCGCGGCCAATGAGTTCCTTTAGGAAGGCAAGACATGCCGTTTCGGTGGCTTCTCGCCTCGGGGGCAGCCTTTGTCTCGGCGCTTCCACTGGCGGAAAGCAGCCACCCGCCCCGGCAAGTTGCTCTTTTCTTTTTTTGTGGGCGGGGGAATGGCAACGCATTTTCCTCAAGTATCTCCAAAATGATTTGTCACCTTTGCCCTTCCCAATCGGCACCCCTTTCAGTGTGAAACCCTGTTCCAACAACATGTCTTTTAAATTCCCTAATGGGTGCTATGCAGTACCACCCGAAAAGTTTAAAGGCAAAGGACCTCCACCAGAATCTGGGACAAGCCCATTTGCTTCTTTGTTCTTGTCATGACCATGAGGGCCTTTCAAAACAGCATATGACCCATGGCTGGGGCTTGGGATGGTCACGGACTCTTTACTCTGCCCAAGACGAATGGACCTTTGTTGTCACCTTCTGGTTTCCCTGTACCAATGTTCCAAAAGGTGATCACCTTTTGTTCGGGGTCCAAACAGAGGAACTTGGTTTGGGCGTAGAAGGACTCCCGAAACCCCCGCATGACCTTTGCCATGGCTTGTTGTTTTTCTCCGGGCACCACGTGACGTTTGTTTTTTTTGGAAACTAAAAGAAGCATCATCAAAATTGGTGTTCATTTTGTAGGAGCCCCGTAGGGACCCTGAATATGAGGGCCTTTGACCCCCTCTCCGACCTCCTTCTACTGAGGTCCGAGGGGCTCCTAATTGGTGTTAATCTTTTTGTGCTGGGCAAAGTCCCTTCTTCCTTTTTTTTCGCCTCCTGAAAGCCCGTGCCTGAAAAAAACAATTCATGGCCTCCTGGCCCGTGCCATCCGAAGAAAAAAAAGAGGGTATCCAACAGTTTTTCCTGAAATGTCCGGGAACGCCCGAAACGACGAGCCAAGGTTTTGCTTTTTGGCGTATCGACCCCAACCCTTTCAGCTGTACATCCTTCTCCGATCCCTTTGATTCCTTCAAAAGGGGCCTGGTTGGGTCTCTTTCTGTCAACCGTTTACCCGCTCTTGAGGGGTTCAAATCCAACTCCAATCCAAGCCACCCAAAAAACCTCTAAACAATTACTTGGTTTCCCTTCAACCACACAGACCCCGAACAAAGCACGCCAATCGACCGTTTGTTTCTCCAAAAGCCGTGTCTTTTCCCTGGCCTCATGATTTTACCATGATCAAAGTCACCCCCTAAATGGCAGGTTAAAGGGAAACCACCCCATGTTCTGACTTTGATAACCCCCAGAAACTGAACCGAAATAATCACCCCTGCTTCCGCCCCAAACCGTGTGGCCGTGGGTCAAAACCAATGGTACCATTTTGGGGTAGGTGAATGCACCACCCATGTTAGAACCTATTTTAGTGGTTGGATCGGGATGTTCACTGGGGGTACGGAATTTTGGATTTTGACCCCTGGCCATGTCTCGCCCCGCCCCAGGCGACGGCTTTCTCCTGGAGACCAGGGTGTCCGGCCACGGCGCCTGGCACCTCGGGGGCTTCTGCCGCAGCGAGCTGCCCCAAGGCGTCGCGGCGCAGTCCTGGCAGCTGACGTGGGAAGCGGAGCTTACGCCGACGCCGCCAGACGTGCAGCACGGCGGAGCGGGCGGAGCGGGCGGAGACTGGGGGCGCTGGGCGGAGAGGGCGCTGGGGGCGCTGGGGGCGGTGAGGGTGGGAAGGCGTCAAGGGGTCAAGGGGTGTGTCATAGGATCCTGTGCCACTTGGAACCAATGGGAAACAGTTGTTGGTTGCAGTTGCAGAATCATGATAAACCAGGGTTTACTGGGTGGTGCAGGATTTCGTCCATCCACAGTAGGTGTCCTTTTTGGTTGGTTTGGTGAAAGAATAGAGGGCGATTCCTGGTTTACCTGGTGGTTCAATCATCTACCAGGGCCATCGATTTTCCCAAAAAGGAAACCTATGGGGTGTGTCCTTGCTTTTTTTAGTTGGCTGGAGCCCCAAATGTATCTCAATTGCGGCGGCTGAGGGCGAAGTGTTCTGTTGCAGTTTTTTTTGCAGTAAGCATCAGATCGTGGAATTTCCTTCATCAGTGCCTTCTTGGCCCGTTCCCAAATCTGATGTGCTGCTTATTTGGAAAACCTGAACGAATATAACATGTGGATGGATAATATCCACTTCGCTTCAGTTGGGACGGATGTCACCCCACAACCACCAACATGGTGCGAAGCGGATTTGTCATCCGGGATATTTTGACACGTATCTCTCCTGGAATTCTCTGGGATCGGAATCTTCATTTGAGTCGTAATCAATCCTGGTATCAGAATGATCCATAGAACCAAAATAATGAACAAGGCAGCTCCCATATCGCAACGGGACTATCCCTGACGTACCTTCATCTACCCCCTGGCTTTGAGACTGCCGGTTTCCCCGAAGAAAAGGTGTCCGTTTTACAACACGCCCAACTGGCGCGAGGCAGAGGATTCCGTCCAAGTTCTTTTTCGCTTTTCGGGCGAAAAGTGGTGTCCCTCCCCAAGAACCTTGGGAACCAAGAGGACTTATCATTGTTAACATCGGTACTTGACAATGCAGTTCTTCGGGCCTGGACGACCCTTAAAGGATTTGGCTCGCTCGCTTGCTCGCTTGCTTGTTGGTGTTATTTCCTTGTTTGTTTGTGTGTTTTTTGATTCTTTCTTGCTGTCTTCCTGTCTGTCTTTCTTGCTTGCCTGCCTGCCTTGCTGCCTGCTTGCTTGCTTGCTTGGCTTGCTTGCTTGCTTGCTTGCTTGCTTGCTTGCTT